CTGCAAAAAAAAAAAAAAAAAAAAAAAAAAACAGCACGGAAACGGAGAAGCTGGACTCATCGCGCCGATTCAAAGACAAACATTGGTGCCTTTCATGTGCACATTAACAAACAACCCGAGGAACGCTTAGCCGCGTTTACACATTTTCACATTTCCTCTCCTCATTTTGTAACTTTTGGGCGAATCCAAACAGGGTAATCACATTTCTGTGCACATTTGCAACGGATCCGGGACGCGATCCTCCGTGAGAACAAACGCTTTAGCGGAGGGAAAAAATAAGACATGCACAAATACCTTGTGTTCCAGGCTGCAGATTATTGTCCTGCGAGAAGAGCTATAATATAAAAGCTTGATGTTCTGCTTCCAGTCGGACCACCGCTTCCGGGTCGCTTTGTTCACTTCTGGGTGCTGCTGCGAGGCTCACTAGCAGCGGCAGCAGAAAGGAAATCTGCTCATGTTGCTCTGGATGTTTGTTTAACCGCACAGCTCGCCGTGTTGGCGTTTACGGTGCACTGCATGCCAGGTGAAAAATGTTGCGGTGTTTTTAATGCGTGTTGATCCAGCAGAAGCCAACAGCAACCATCCCGGACGCTATAACATGTAGCACTCCGTCACAACAAACAGTAGAATCATTCAGAAATAACCTACTGATTGCATTATTGACAAGGGGAAAAAAATGCTAAATGGATTGCAATTAATGGCATAGGAGCAATTATATGAAAATCACTATTATATACTTATATATATATATGTATATATATATATTGATTATAGGTGACCAACATTTGTCATAGAGGCCCTTAGAATGAACATGTGGCCCTGACCACATCCAATGAATGGTACAAAATTTGTGCCCCCCAGGATAAGTTGAAAATTGCCATTTAAATTTTTTTATTTTATTTAATTTTTTTCATTTTTTAACAATGTCCTGTCTAGCACTGTGGTACTAAGAACAATTGTCTTGATGCCAAAAAGAGCCCAACAGATTTTACTTTTACAAGTGGAGCAGTACGGCTATCGCCTTAGTGTTACGCTTGATTTATGCACATAAATTCCTTTATTATAATTCATGCAGGGAGTTTTACAGATTATATGGACATTGCCATTTAAGTAGAACTGGAAAGGAAAAACAGAAAAAAGATGAAAGAAAGAGGAGATAAAAGGGAGATAATGAAAAAAAAAATTTTTCAGTCTGCTTCATCACTTGCAAAGATGTAAAAAGAACAGCAAAACCAACGGACATGGTACGAGACATACAATAAAGTAACTACCTATGCTAGATACTATTGCTGACGTATAAGTAGTATTATTTAATCTGTCATGTATACTGTGGTAGCTAAAGATAAAAGAATATGAGTTTTCTGTATGGAACTGAGTCTAAGTACCTGGAACCAAGCACCTGTAGTTGCACCTGTAGTTGCTTGGTTACAGGTACTAATATATAAATAATTTCAATGGGTAAACTCACTTTTTTAAATCGTATTGATAACTAGGCGTCGCCCGATATGGTAGACCTTTTTTTTTTTATCATAGGTGAACAACACTTGTCATAGATGCCATTTATGGCCCTTAGAATGAATATGTGGCCCTGGCCACATTCTATGAATGGTGAAAAAATTTGGGGCCCAGGATAGGTTGAAAATTGCTATTTTATAATTTCACTTTAGACTGATAGTAATCCTGACCAGCAACATACAGTGAGTGTCACTGAAATTTCAACTTAAGCCCACAGGATCATTAATCTAAATACAGCAAGTATTTATTTATTTATTTATTTATTTTTTATACTGAAGCAGAAATGAGTAAACGGACTGCCTGTCTTTTAAAATGGTAAATGTTTTAGGCTCTTTTTTTTTGTTTCTACATATAGTGATTTACAGGATCATTTTCCACAGACTTTTTTATTTGTTTCACCAAAGTAGTGTAATGTTTGTGTATTTAGGGTGTGATCTTCAAACCTTCATAATAAGAGGTGCTAAATTAAAATAAAAATAAATAAAGATTGTGTTTCCAACTGGGGGAGTGGCATCCCAGTGGTTAGGGCATAGAGCTTGGAATCCAGAGGTTCTGAGTTCAAGCCCCACTCCCACAGACTGCCACTCTGTGTCTCTAAACAAAGACCCTTAACCCCACACTGCTCCCTGGGCGCCGCACAAGTGCAGCCCACTGCTCCCCAAGGGGATGGGTTAAATGCAGAGGTACATTTCTCCAATGTGAGATCAATAAAGTTCTATTCAATTCCTGAGATGTGCGAACTGCATTGTTTCAGTTGTGTGTAAATTTCATGTGTAATCGGCAGTTAGGAGATTAGTGGTAAAAGAAAGATCCAGTTGTGCCATGTGCCTCAGCTAGTATGTTCAACCTTTAAAAATAAGAAGACTGCTACTTAACTAAAACACAACCAGTTTTTTTTTTTATATTTAGAATTACAAATTTACAATGATTAATTATTTTAACATAATTATATTTACGTCCAAAAGAATTTACTTCATTACCTATTTTTAATAGTAGGTTCACTTTTGCTCTCGACATTTACTATTTCTGTCCAGACCAAATATGGTTCAGCTGTGAAATTTTGCTAAACTTCATAGCCAAAGTTTCCTCTCAGGTTAGGAAATGTCCTCTGAAGCAGAAGCTGGTTAAAGGAACCTATAAACCAACCAGTGAACCATCACTGCCCACAGTTCACATAGTAGGGGAATATAAAAAAGAGGAACGGGTAAAGTCATACCTGTGGTCAGAGAGCTCCCTTGAAAAAAGCCCTACAATTAATATTTTACCTCGTGACGCAGACGCATATGTGGTTGGAAATCTCTACAATGAAAGTTGAACCCTGACAATCAGTCTCTTGAGTAATTATCTAAATCCGCACATCAGTTTTGGCTTATTTTTATTAGAATGGAATAGAATAGAAAATCAATTTATTGTCCCACAAAGGGGAAATTCTGGTTTTACTGCAGCAAAAAAGATTATAGCAAAAGTGGTCACATCAATGTGGATCTTAGAAAAGTGTATAAAATCAAACAATATACTTTAAAATATCTTCTTCCTAGGAAACTGATCTGCACTGAGGTTGCTAAGGTTCCCCATTGTGTATTTCTCCCCTTTAAACTTCTTCTAAGATGATCTTTGTGAACCTTTTAAAACTGATTCCTCTTTGTGTCAAGAACTAAAAGTTCGCTGGAATCGTGAGAAGCCACTGGTTGTAGAAACTGGTGTGTCGACGCTACCACTGATGTGTGCATATGTCTGTGTGTCATAATGTGTGTGTAGGGGGAGGGGGTTGGTGAGTGATCTCATTATGTTTCCTGTTTTTCGCACCACTTCTCTCCAATAGAAGTGACAGTCCTGACCCACAAATATACAAAAAAAAAAAACACAACAGTCCTTCTTTGACACTTTATTTGAGTCAGAGTCAGGAAATCTGATGCATTAGTCAGAATGCTGCGTTCTTTTAGTTGACACAGTGGGTTATCGCAGTGATGACTAGATAACCTCAATTTTTCGATATTTATTTTTCATATTTCTTCAATGCAAAGCTCTTTTACACTCAGGTCTCTTGTCATGGACTCTATCTGGGTAAGTAACCTAGACCTTAATAATTTGGATCAGCGACAGGTTTTTTAGGAAGGATGGTTTAATTTCATTGATGTGTTTTCTTAAGAGTTTCATGTGCTTATCACATTTTTATAAGGTGAACATTCTCGATTGATGCTGATTGCATTGCTTGGTCTTACTTGTTAAATTGAACTTAAATAATGTGTTGTTGATAATCAGACCTGTTAGACTGACTACAAATAGGAAAAGCATTGAATGTCGCTTTAAAGATTATATATCTGGTCAGTGATTTTCCACATTTGAACTTGGGAGCCATTCAAATCTATGTTGTAAATTTCTGTAAAATCCAGTTATCACCAGTAGAAGAAAACCAACAAACAAAGATATAACTCAAATAACCCTTGTCTATTTTTGGCCAAGGTTTTTGTCTCTTAGTGAAAATCTGCCATAAATATGGTCTTAGATCTTAATTTAATAATAAACTAGACTGAAATATCCTGGAGTCAACATCTTTAGAAGTTTGCTGATTTATTTATTGGACAATTGATTCATTGACATGCATGATATTTTTTGGATCTTGAAGTTTGTCTGGTTAGGTTTTCCAGAATTTTTTTTGATAAATTTTGGAAATATTAATATAAAGTTTAGAGTTAAACTTTTTAAAATCCTTGGCAGTTTTAGTGATAAAATCACTTTCATTCAACCAAGGATTTGGTTTCAGATTTTTTTTTAAAAGAACGAATCATGCTTAAAAAGGAGTACAGATATTAAGAATTTCTTATTTAATTTTCTTTTTTTTTTATTTGTTTATATTCATTTTTTAAACAAAAAAAACTAAAACAATTAGTGTTACCCTTCTCATTAAATAACTATATAGTCTTTATTGATATTACCATAATTAAACCCTTCTTATTGAGCAGCCCTAAGCATGTCTCCACTGGTACTTTGATTATCTATCTTACTTGGTAAGTTTAAAGTCTTTTCAGCTTATTGTCCTCCCTGCCATCACCCTAATCTTTAGCTCTGTCTACAGATTCTCTGGCATGGTTGTTTCAAGATGTTACTACTTCTATGTTATATTATGACCAGCATATTGTTTAAATAAACTGAATACTTGAAGCTTGAATCATTTATAGGTATGGATACATTGGGCCTAGTTGTATGTAATATTTTGTTATTGTCTTCTTTTAATCGTCTGGTGATGATTTATTGAATAACTAACTGATTAAAAAGTTTACCTGATCTAGGGCTCTGGAGCCACAACTATTTTTTTTTTTTTGTGGTGGATTTTAATGTGTTTTCAAACAATACATGTATATAAACTCCAAAAGAACCTGATAGTCTGTTTCTTACGTATTTTTCTTTTAAAAGTCTGAGATCTTTATTTTCAAAACCTAAGCTTTAGAATGTCTTCATAAAACTGACTTAGCAATTTTTTAGGATAAATCGTATCCATTAGAGGTTTGGCTGGTTATAATGCTATTAACCTTGGAACTCCAAGCTGGGAAGTCAGAGTTGTGTAATCTCTGAGATGATATTGTTCCAGTTTCCTATTGACCGAAAGTCAGAAAAAAAATAAATAAATCTACTGTATATGGGCTGTTATATGTTTGCCATGGCTGTTGTTACAACAGCAGTAACACTGCTCTGCTTTTGTCTTATAAACACTAAAAAGTAGTAAGTGTAACACTGACTAAATATCACATAGATAATGAGAAACAGCTAAAAAGGTCAAAGAATGTTTTACTACTGTTGATGCGAGTAGCTGCGATCTTATGTGCAGAAGTGGGATGTGATACTATTGCCCCAACTTTCTGTTTCGCAATTCTGATTTTCCAGGTTGTTCCAGATGAAATTTCCTTCTCTGAGGTTGGGAACTTGCTGAATTATCCAGCTGATGTCGGCTTCATAGAGTTACTCTACAAAGAAAAAAATATATATTAGCAAAGAGGTGTTTAAACCTGCTCAATAAGCACTTGAAACTGCTTTTAAAGAGCAGATAATGAATGTTAAAATTGTTAGTTTTACACAAGGTTTCTGTAACGTGAGAATCTTATACTGGCCCGTATCTGGTATGATCCTCGTTGTTAGTAAATGTAATCTTAGAAGTATTAAGTCAAACATTATATTATATTATTTATTTATTATTACCTTTCATTTACTGGCTATAGAGTTAGGTTGATTATTAGGGATCCAGGTTATATACTAATTAACTAATCAAAAGTTATTTGGCCTTATCTATTGTCTAAGCATTCATTGATAAACAGCCATTTACTGGTGTTGATTTTTCTGTTTAATTAAGAGAGTATACATATATATATATATATATATATATATATATATATTTTTTTTTTTTTACAATATACTGAAATAAAAAAAGAAGCACATCATAAAATTAATGATCTATTTTGTAGCTTTATACTGACAAATTAAACAAAAATGTTTTCTCAAACAATTAAATGTAAATATATACACATAAAATATAACTAAATGGCAATTACTGTCAAAAAAGAAAATAAGATAAATAAATTAGAATATATGAAACTGTTATAATCCCCACAATCCCCCATAAACAGAAATCTCATTTAAAGACAGGGAGTGTTGCTCCGACATACTATCAGACTACTTCAGCTACCTGATGGTAGCTGGAATAGTGTACTGTTTCCAGTGCTGGGAGTTATACTTTGTGATGTTTTGGTTACGGTTTAAAATTGGCTCAATGAGGTGCATTACCTCACGAAGACCCTCACTATCTACCATACTGATTGGTGTCGTCTTTTTTTAGTCATGCTACAAATTTGTGTAAACTTCCTCCACGTCTTGCATCATCCTCTCGAACTCTCTTCTAGATGAGACCAACTCTACAACACTCAAAGAAGGTCCGCCTAAGCCAGAGTTCCTCAGCTGCAATCCTCCAGGTCTGGTGCCCTGCACCTTTTAGATGTACCTCTGCTTTTTTATATGACTCAACATATTATCAGGTCAATAGCAGGACTCTAGATACCCTTACTGCACATCGAGGAGGTAATTCAGCCATTTGATTCAGGTGTGGAAGCAGAGACACATCTAAAAGGTGCAAGACGCAGGACCTAGAGGAACACTGCCTAAGCGGATATTATCAGTTAATCAGATATGACAAATTTTAATCAAATAAGCCATTTATTGAAAATTCATTGCAAGCCAATTATTTATTTACATCCTCCTTAGTTGCTACAACTAACATGTACTGTAGTGAGCCAACATTTTGCCTTACAGGCTTATCCATCTGCCTCTTACGAAGTCTCTTTAAGGGCAGCCAAACACTGCTTTCTGGTGTCTCTTATTTAATTCCCCTGACTTCGTACCTTTGAATCTAGTGTCCCTAAAATAAAGGGCAACATAATCTGTCTTACCTCTCCTCTGGTCTTGGAGAAATTGCACAGTGGTTATTTTTGCCAGCCTTACAGGGATAGAAGTGCCTCACAATGATGGACATCTTGATATAAAGCCTCAGTCACATTCATTCAATCACAAATTTACTTATAAGCCTGACCGACTTAGGTTTAAAGTAAATATTTTTTTTATTTGTAGCTGCATGCTTCATCTGGTTAGAGGTAATACTTTAGAGCAGCTCAGACACAATCCTGCCTAAAAGCTAGTAGGGAATCTGTAAAGGGAGCTAAAAATCTGGGTGATGAAAAGAGGGACCTTCAAAGTTGGAATTCAGCACAGCACAAATCATCGCAGTGGAAACATGGAAAATAATGCATACAGTTCATAGGAAGGATTTGAAAAATAATAATTGTATTAAAATCAATGAAAATAGGGATTGAGGTTTTAATATATTGTTTAAACATCCTGATCATCGTAAATCTTTCCTATGTGTCAAATGTAATGTTCTCACACTCTCAACGCTTCGTGATCTAATAGATTGCCAAACCATATACTTTTGTTTCAGGTTGTTTTCTTGATACTGTCCCACATGATCACTAGACCTGGTCTCACTGAGGCGAAAGAATATAAATGCGTAGCTATTTGCCCGCCTGGTAGGTTATCACAATAAAATCCCCCAATTAACTTTTAGTTACTAGTTAAACATCTCTACAAGTTCAGCTAATATCTCTTCTGCCTCTGTTTGTTTGTTTGTTTTTTTGTCCTTAGGGTTCCATAAAAATGGTTCTTGTAAAAATGGAACGTTTACCTGCACAGAATGTCCTTCAGGGACATTTACTTCCATAAGCAACACTCGTGATAAATGTGTGCGTTGCGGCAATTGCGGTCGTAAGTGTCTTTAGTTGTTATACTGTAAAACGTTCTTCATTGGAAGTTCTTCATTTATTAGTTGCTCATAATGGACTAAATAGCTTCTAATGTCTGTTATACCAAAAAATATTTATTTCTTTAAGGTCCTAAAGACGAGAAACAACCTTGCACTACGACTTCTAATGTGGTGTGTAACTGTTCAGCTGGAGAGTATTCAAAGGAGGGTGGCTGTGAGAAATGCTCTTCTACAACTGGTGAAGGTCAGATATAATAACTTTTCACTTTTCAACGTATTCATATTTGATTAAATGAAACACCAAAATACGAAGACAAATAAATTTAATCATGTGTTCTTTAGATACCAGCAATAAAGATTATGTGGACAAGTGCCTGTCATGCCAAAGGTAAGTGAAGCTACATTTTGGGACACCCATAGTGGTGACCAAATAGCTGAATTGTCCAGTTATTCAACTGTCAGCCTGTAGCCAATCAGCAACTAGCAAAAAAATTAACTACATTTCTTAACAGTTAATGCAGAGGTTTGGCCATGAGAGCCCTGGAAACTTATCAAGATGGCAGCATGGAAATAAAAAAAAAAGCATTGTCCTTATCCAAATAGCTTTTAGAAAGCTTGTTTTGGTATATTTATGCAAGTAAAGTATTTTTAAATCTAAAAGTCTTAAATATTCCTTAATGACATTTATTATTGTGAGTAAATAAAAAAATGGGATAATTCATTACAATAGCTGGGACCAAATGTTATATTTTAGCAACGGTATAGAAAGACATTTCATCACTGATCCTTTAATTTTTAAGGTTGGTATAAATTTCACAGAATTTCTACCTTTAAAAGTGCTTTTCTGTAAAGCTTAGAAAATTATAGCCAGAGCTCTGATTAATGGTTTTGTAATTTTGTCCACAAATTGCTCAACACCAAAAGAAACTATTTGTTTTTTTTTTATTTAAACCATATCTGCATCTTTAAATCAACGCTTGCCCCAAAAGAAAATAATTCCTTGACCTATGTGGTTCTGTTGTTGCTTTAGACATGCTTTCCTCTTGTAAAATAGGAGCATGTTTTGCAGTCAAGCTGTAAATTTCCCAGTCTGATATGTATTTTTTTGCACATCTCTATGAGGAAACACAGTTTCTGTGGTTTTGCTTAGGCCCAGTGCTGCCTGGGTTTGACAGCATGAACTGCGGATGTCTCTGTACTCAGGAAGCTTTGATAAGATTGATAATAATACACCCGCAAGAAAAAAAAAAAAAACTTTTTACTTCAGCAGAATGTGTTGATAGTTAAGAAGATGAAGACAATTTTCAGCATCATGCCTTTTCACAGCTGCTTTTATTAATTGTCTTTCTTGTTATAATGTCTGCATCACTATATGTGACAGACTGTGTTTCAAAGATTCCTTCTTTCTAAACCTGGGCTCCAATTTTTTAAGCTGGTTCATTTAGAAGTTATTTCATGTTATTTACATATTTTGCTTACTTAGTGGGTAACACTGCATAATCATAAAAGCAGTATGGCTTAGTCATTTTTCAATGGTTAAAAATATCCACTTCCTTCAGGTTGTGAGAATATAATTGATGCATACATGTTGTTTGCAGCTTTTGACCTTTTAATTTTTAGTGAAAACATCACTGGAACATACCAATAACTATAATAAATAACAGAATTCAAAACCACTGATGGGTCATGGGAATGCAAAAAAAAGTAGTGTTGTCCCGATGCCATTTTTTTGGCCCCGATACTGATAACAGATACCTGGCTGTGCAGTTTTGGCTGATACCGCTACCATACAAACACCATCTGTCTGAAATTGATGTGTGTCTGTATATCTGAATCATACTACTTGGATGTAAAATAATTGCCATCATGGCTTTGTCAAGCTGCTGCCTACCTTTCTGAAGCAAGAAAAATACTAATATAAAATGAATCCAGTAGAACTTTTAATTGCCTATCTGGAATGGGTGACAATAGGTGAATAAACTTTTGGCTCTAAAATGGTATCGGTGCCTTATTTGTTGGTACTCGCCGATACCGATGCCACCAATTTAGTGCCGGATCAGGGCCCAGTCCGATACTGGTATCGGTATCGGTGCAACACTAGAAAAAAAGACATTGCTTTTCTTCACTCACTTGTATTTGGTTCTTTCTTTTTCAGTGAATGGTGTAAGAAAAACCGAGAATGCTGGAAAAACTGTTCTCTGGCAAACACACCAGATAAACCTGTGAAAGGTAGGTAAAACATCCAGATATATCTGTTATTTAATTATTCTCTTCATACCCTCAGAATCTCTTTAGATTTATGTATGCATCTATGAGGACAATGAGTCCTCAAAAAAAAGAAGAAACAAAGAATAGGCCATTAAAACTACCCAAGCAGATAACTGTTCAACTGCTTAAGCAACCTTCTCATGAGGCACAGCACAGTTGCCATTTTTACATACATTCCGAAGGTACACTCCCCAGGTTTGTTATGTTGACAAAATTTTAAAATCTTTTTAGATAAACTATAAAACTTAGGACAATTCAAAGTTTTAATTTATACCCCATTTTCAAGCCATTTTACATAAATGTCTTTTGACTACTCTTTGTAGAAATGTTGAATCATTGTTCTTTGTTTACTTGTCTGTCCCCACTTTTGCTAATAAAGATCTTTTAAACAAACAAAAAGTTTACACTGCAAGTTTGAAGGAAACCCCTTGGGGAACATCATCCAGATGCTAAAGCCGTTACACTAACTTCTACCTCAGAGAATCGTCTTCACAATATGTCTCTTAGTCAATAAATAACAGAAAGGCTAAGCTCCAAAATACATTGCAGACTAGTTGTCAGTGTATCAACCGCTGAGATTACAGGTCCACAGGTCCAACAGCCCCATCTCTTCAACCCCACCATCCACCCCTCCCTTTCCCAGTGAAGAAGGTGAGCTACATAATTTTCAGGGACAGGCCAGTTAGCATCACTACAGAGTCTGTGAGAGTTTCTCTCTTGTTATTGCTTCAAAAACACAAAATTTAAGTCTTTATATATAGTATAAAAAATTGATTCACATTTTCTTCTATATAACGAAATAAATATAAAATAAAACAAATAAAAATGGGCTACAGTTGTTTGTATTTGATCGTGGACAGTTGAAGGAGAACATTGAGGAGCCTCCAACAGCCTGTATTAAAATCACAGCCAGTATTAAAATACTTCAGTTAGATTTTTATATTCAAATTGAATAATAGACATTAAAAGGCATCTATAAATCTTGATCATTTTCATGAGTAGGCTGAAGCAGCCACACCAAAAATACATGTATTTTGTTGTCATTGCATGTATACATGAATGAAAATCAAGTTCTCAGGGCCAGCCTAAAAATGTTCTGTCCTTTGTTTGAAGTTATAGCGAAACCTAATGGGAGTTGATTTTCGAAATCCAAAACCTATTTTCTTTTCATGTGTACATAGATAAAGCAAAGTTTTTTGGGTGGCGGCAATATCGATGTCTGTTTCCTGGCGCCGCTCCTGCATGGAGAAACAGCTTTTTAAGTTTTATTCAATTCAATTTAGTTTATTTATACAGCGTCAATCCACAACACACTCCACCCCAAGACTCCACAGAGACCACCCAACAAGGTAACATAGTCAGATTGGTCAAATGTTTCCTATCTAAGAAAAACCAGCTGATTGCATGAACTCAATGACTCTCTGCAATACTTCACATTGAGCATGCATCTAGGGACAGTGGAGAGGAAAACTCCCTTTTAACAGGAAGAAAAAATTAGAAGGAAAGGGATTCCTGTTTGTCGAGTTGGTGTGGATGATCCTTTAAAGTAACTTTGAAAAGTAGATAGACTGAATGATTTCAGAGAAAGTTGAAAAACCCGGAATGAGGGTTAGGAGGAGGGTACTAGGAATTGTGAATGAACATGCTAGGAAATATCCCCCAAGACCTGAGGATTGAGCCATACTCAAATAAAATAAATTGGATAAGCAGAGAGAATGACGCCATTGTAAAAGAAGAGTATCCTGATCTAGTTTGGTAATGCACTGCATGACGATGATGATAGGTGATACCAAAAAGCGAATGATTAAAAGAAAATTAGCTCCAGCAACCAAATGGCAGAAGCAGCAGTCACCAGATTTGATTTTCTAAGGGCCCCCTGGTATGCAAGACATATAGATAAAAGTCTAAAACTAATATGAAACTAATGGAAACAAAACTGAAACAAAGCATCTAAACAAAAAGAAATAGAACTAAACTAGCCACCAAAAAAACGGACAAAGTTAAAACAGAAAATCAGAGGTTAGAATTAAAAACAATTAAAACCCACTACAATTCAAAACCATTTAACCATAAAAAAAACCATATGAACCTGATTGTCATTCACACACATTTAATATGAAACTACAGTACACACATTTTATTCAACATAAAATCCTCAAGTCACTCCACATGATTCAACATGACTCCTGAATTAAATAAACAGATTATTAATGTTGAGTGAATGCTATGAGATATTGTCGAGCTCAATTACACTGACAGAGTGGATGAGCCGAGATGCCTCTGTAAACTGAAGGCTGCCAAGCTTGGCTTTGATCATTTAAAAGTGACAAGACTCTCACTTGAATTTTCAGCTTATTCACATGAGACTCAGATTCTATGCTAAATCACATACAATAACCTAAGCGAAAGCCTAAATGGTTGAATGACCATCGGAAGATCCTAACTCCTCATTACAGCAAGCATGCTAACTGATGAATCTTTTTTTTTTCTTTTTTTGTCACCAAATGTTTACTTCAACTGACAGTTTGATGCTTTTAAGCATGAATTGTTTCAGATCAGTTTTAAAATGCCGAAATCAAATGAGTTTGAGCATATTCAGTGACACATTCATGCAAGTCTAATAAGGAATTTGGGTTTCCGTAACTTGAATCAAATATTTATTGTACTTGAAAGTGCAGGAAGAGTTAATCAACAAATGTTTGCTTGACTAGGCGGGGGATGGGGTTATTCCACTAAACTTGCAGTATTTAATGTTCAAAAGATTTATAATTCAAATTAAAAACATGCCAGGCTGCACAAAACAACGTTAAAACAACTTTTTTTTTGCTTTTTAATCAACTACACAAACTTAGGGCTGAAGCAATTATCCTGATTAATCATGATTAATCGATTATTGAAATAATCGTCAACAACTTTAGTGATAGATTATTTGTTAATGAAGTATAGAGACTGTAAAACATACCTTTAGCTGACAGAGGGATCAACTTAGAGCAGTATTGAGCAGCAAAATTGTAAAAAAAATTATTGTAAACAATTTGCATTTTAGATAAAAAAAAAACAAAAAAAAAAACTTTTCCTTCTGTCAATATGCTCTGTCCATAACTCCTCCAGTGGAACAATTTTAGTTTCACCTGGTTTAATTTAGTAAAAAATCTTCTTTAAGGACCCATTGGTTGTCCGATTATTATTCGATTAATAGAAAAAATAATCGACACATCAATGGATTAGCAAAATAATTTTTGGAGCCCTACACTAACTTCAGTTTCTTAATAAACCAAAGGAAATTCTAAATTTTAGTTAACATGCATTTCAAAGCAGAGGATGAACTGTTGATTTTCGAGTTAAACCACAATCTTTACAGTACAGGATATAGAGTAGATTTGAATAGATACAAATTGGAATGAATATGACAAACTACAGTATATAGTTGTAACTTTTAGAAATTGAACATTGGAGTGAAAAAGACATTGGAAAAATCATGCAAAATCGTTGATTCATCTATTAAAAGCAACACATAAACAGCTGATAATTTGGACATTACATTGGTTAAAAATTGAAAAGACGTTGAAAATCTAGCTGGGGACCCAAGGATCAGAGTATTTATACCAACATGAGGTGGTGAAATTCTTATTGAAATGAAGAACAGGTTCATCTTTAACTAAAAATGCCTCAGACTTTAGTTTAAATAAAATGTATGCGTCAGTTATAGAAATAAAGCTTAAACAAGTTAGATAAATAAATTATATTAATCTTTACAATGTAGTGTTACCTGTGTCATCTTAATTTGAGAATGTTGTCCTTGCAATCACCAAAACCAATGAAACGTTGATTAAAGAATTAATGATTGAATATTGAAATTTAGGACTCCCTTATGTATGATTTCTGGAATCCTACATCCATTTAAGAATTGATCTAAGATCTAAAATTAAATTTTTGACTTAAAACTTCTTCAGATCCTGCAGAAATTTCTAAAACCAGAGGCTTATTGGGAAGGGTTTCTAAGGGGAGAACCTGTTTTATTCCTTAGCATGCACTCAAGCAAAATATTGAACAATCTTGTAACAGATTAAGGTCGTCCTAAACTAAAAAAAAAAGGAATTTGTAAGAACCACAATCTGCAGTAATAGCTGAAAAACAAAAGAGGGTTTTTAATGGCTAGTTCAAGCATAAAGCTTAGCTGTTTAAAATATTGCGATGAGAGCTTTGAATACCTAATTTCTGCAAATCTCAATTACCAAAAGTAGCATTATGAAAAAAAAAAGCGCAACAAAATTCTTGAGAAGAAAAGGACTGATCGAGTCAGATAAGCATCCGCTAAAGATATTTTTTTTACCGGTTTCTTAATCATGTGGTAAATCTTTCATTTTCCTCGTAAACGTCTCTGCAGTCATGGAAACCTTTACATTCTCATGATCACAGACATTTTTACTTCATGCTTTTCCATTTGCCTGCACATTACGGCAGGCTGCGCAGTCACCTTCTGGGGGGAAAAAAAAGAGTTGTCAGTGATAAGTAGAACTAATACATTGAAATTGAACATTATCTTTATTGTAAAAAGATCCACATTTGGCACATGCACTCCTATCAGCTGTAATATTGTTCTCATCATGAAGCACAATAGTGAATATGTTTTTGGGACATTTTTTTTTTTGAAAAACAAAACAAAAAACTGTTTGTCTCTTTAGAGATTTGAAATGACCCTGTTAGCCTTAGACCCTCCATTGTCCTAAGACATTTGGTATACAGTAACTTTAATCACCTAAACTTAGAAAGCTTGAGCATCTTTTCCATAAGGAATAGATAATTCTCTTTGATAAACCAAAAATGCTGTTACTTTATCATGGAAAATTACACTAAAACATATTATGTCTGGAGGAATGTACATATTTGTGCCCGCACAGTAAACTGACTTGACATTGAATTGCAATCATTGTCTTTAATTCCTTGCTTGTTGAACTTTTGTGGTTCCTTCTGCATCTTCAGTTTAAAAAAGATATTAAATAGCTAATACAGCTCACTGGGGAAAAAATTCAAAATCTTTAAAAACAGGAAGGGAGACAGTAAAATCCGGAAAATAAAATGTTTGTATTTTTAAGGCAAAGCATGTTTTCTTTTTCTAACATGAATGACGAGTGTATCAATAGATATGAGACATTTGCTACCATTGTTTTTTATCTCTTTTTCTGCCTTTGATGGAAGTAAATTATCTTTATCATACTAATTAAACATGTGATTGCAATGCATTTTCTCTCCATAAAGATGAAACGAAGACTCCTACTACAAGTACAACTACGAGAACATCTAACCCTATTGTCGAGAAAGTGGAGAAAGATCGTAAGTTATAACTTTTTTATTTAGTTTTAATAAGATCAATAGGTCCTAAATTTTTCCAGTTTGTCAGTGATTGGAATTAAAGGACTCACGTCTGTGCTATGTTGTTTTTTTCAACAGATAACCACTTACCCTGGAATTATTTGCTGGGGGCTTTTGGAACACTTCTGGCGCTGTTGTTGTTGCTACTGCTCCTCTGTAACCTGCTCAGAAAGAAAGATGTTCTTCCCTGCTGGACCACAAAAAAAGATTTGGGAAGACAGACCCCAGGAATCAATGGTAACTAAATATTGTATCTAACTCCACACATCTGATCAAAGACCTTAGCAGGATCATTCAATAGACTCTGCTCCATCTCTTATCAAGCATTTGAGTTTACTGTTAGATTACCTTAAATTTTCATGGCAAATAAATTCAAAAGAAATTTAAAAATAATATTTTAGGAACTACACAGATTTTGAATTTCACTTGTATATAAGCTTATAGCTAAATAGAATTGCATTAATTTACTTTTCCAAATGTGAGAAAAGGGATTTCAAAATATAATCAATTAAGTAAAGGATATATAATGGAAAATCTGGGATCCATATAAAGATAGTGATCGCAAAGTGTAGAGCTTCAATTAGTTATAAAATGAATATTTGTGTGGCAATATGGAGCTTAAAGATCTAACAGACTAGCACCCCGTCCCAAAAAAACTGCTGTTTCTGACTATATTTCAAAGTGGTGAAGAACTGTGTTGGGCCCAGATATTTATGGGAGGAAACAATGACTTTGCCTAACACAGAGAACATAAGAGACATTTAAAAACTGAATGCACAGTGTTGAAAAAGGTGAAATTAACATATCTGTTTGTTTAATTAGTGACCACACCTGGGCTGGAAATAAGAATAGCCACCTAAACCTACAGTAGCTGCTTGAGATTATACAGGAAACATTTTTTCAATTTCTTTTCAATTCAATTCAGTTTATTTATATAGCGCCAATTCACAACACGTGTCATCTCAAGGCACTTTACAGTTCATCAGATCATACAGTCAAATTGATTCAAAGTTTTCTATCCAAGGAAAACCAGTTGATGGCATCGGCTCATTGACTCGAATGCAGTCCCTCACAATAGCATGCTTGTAGCGACTGTGGAGAGGAAAAACTCCCTTTTAACAGGAAGAAACCTCCAGCAGAACCAGCCCCCTCCAGCAGAACCAGGCAAAAAAAAAGAATGCCACAAATTTGAGGAAAAAAAAGCTGGCTGTCTTTAATAATAGAGCTGTTTTCCTTCCACTAACCAGAAGATGATGGCATTCAAAACTGCAGCTCTGCGCACCTGATACATATGCAATGGCGGGCACAGAAACCAAAACATTAGCTACAATAACCCATGTTCTGCTTACTGAAACAATTTATAATATAAACTATTAAACAGATAAGGAAATTATTTAAAGTTGTGTCCTACATGCACTCACAAGGGAGCCTGATGTACATGCAAACTGAAAAAAAAAGCCTGCTGCACACTGAGGGTTGTTGATTCAGTTCAGGATAAGTGACATCAGAATTGACAATACAATGACCTTACAATGTAAAATTGAAACAGCAGAGAAAAAAAATTTAAGAATGTTTTATCCCTATGTGTCTGCCATCATAATAAAAAGCAGTATGAGGAACACTGAACTGAGCCCTTGCAGTCAGACGTTTTTGTGTAATCGCTACAATACCTATAGCAACGGTGTTGCTATAGGTATTGTCCTCCAGCTTTTGCGCATATTGACTACACACTAAATTCCACAGGGTTAAATATGCAGTGCCAAAGTACATTGACTATTTTAGAGGTATTACAACAACTGGAGTGAGATATACACTATATATAGAGAATTAATTTAACACTAGCAAATGCACTCAGATGGGTGTTGAATTTAACTCTTAAAGTGTTACTTTAATGCTGCCAAATATAGTCAGTCGCTTCCTTCAAATTTCAGACTAATCTAAATACACCAAGTTAGTGCTATTGTTTACTCTTCAGGAAATCACAACCTGCATAATCGTGCAGGAGGGAAACAGAGTCCACCCCTTACAAACTAATATTCAGGGTTTAGAGAATATTAGTGTTTGCTGTTTGTTATGCCATTTCTGCATTAAGTGACTCGATGCGAACAGAAAACTTACTGATGATATCTGCTTTTCTCCTTACAGAACCACACAGTCATCACTGTAGCAGCCCGACCACGCTGGTTTGTGCTAAGTTTCATGATCTTTATGCTGTATTCAGATAAGAGTAACCTACAGACAGTAGCTGTACTGTAGGTGGATGAAAAACAACCTTAACACCACCACTTACATGCACACTGGTACAAAGGTCAAAAGTAAAATTCTGATAAGCATCTCTCTAGTGTAGTTAAAACAAACATTTCTGACAAAGGCCAAAGATAATTCACTGGTATTTTAACAGTTACAGAGGATTTTTTTTTCTTTTCTGAGAGAAAAGGGAAATTATGTTTTATTTGTTCTTTCTTGTTCTTTCCAGACATTTGGTATTCATGAGGAAACTCCCATGATGCCCCTCTGTCAGGAACCATCTGCTTATATTAACTGCTACGTGCAGCGGGCAGTTCCGGCGGGTAAGGTTAAATTATTAATGCCTTTTCCTTGTGACATATTATTTAGCTAATAAACAACAAGTTGGAACCTAATTTTGTGCTAAAATACATTAAAGAAGAATAAAGACGTATGGGTTTAATTAATCTTTTTACTACTGTTAAACATGTAAATATGTAGAGATGAGACCTTTCACCCTTATTAGATGTCATCTCATTCTCACAAATGTGTTTTGTGTTGCTATGAGGTTTATGACCACCACAAATGTTATATGAGTCACTGAATGATATAAGAAGAACGCATCTGAAGAAAGGAACTCACTCAAGGAAGTCACCTCCCTTTCAGTTTTACTTTGTGTTAAGTGGACCACATAATTAAATACGACAGCTAAATACGACCAGAGACGTTTAGGGTTCTGATTGGTACATTCATTATATAGGTGGAATGCCCCATGTTTCATAATTAGATATAAGGTTAATATTAACAAATAACATGGTAATAATTTTGTGCATTACTAAAAGGTGCAGTAATTGGGTATTATCATGATGAAATGTGTACTTTGCCTTTCAGAGACTTTCAGAATTCTTTGCAAACTTTTTTGAATAACAACCAGGAACCTTGTGTATTTTAGGTGTGGCTCATTTTTGTATTCAGCTATTCTGTCAGAAGTCGAGAAAATATTGTGAATTGATAAAGTAAATTAATAATAAGGGAATGATTTGTATTCTTGCGGCTGCAACTCAGGTATGCTGTAAATGGTAGCGGTGTTAGCCTTTACACTCTAAAGTCTTCCGAAAATATGTGGGTATTAATTTCATGCCCTATTTTTTAATATACGTTTTCTCAGTGGTAATAAATATTACAGCGTGACGACCAAAGATAATTTAGGAACATTATTAGTTTTCTTTATAAACCTTAACTAAAAAAGTCAGTAAAAGTCTTTTTTTAATTTGGAATAAACCAATTTGCAATGCTCTGCGCTGTCTGATCACGTTCCTGTCGCACAATCTCTGTTTTTGGTTTTTTTTCACCTTTTCAACTGTTGCTTCACAAAAAGTTTATCTGTAATCAGTCATTCTTGCTGAGGTGGAAAGAAGGAAGCAGGATGCCCTCTCTTGCACGTCAGTCAGCATTTCAACATCTAGGGTAAAGTGAAATCAGATAAATAATTCATATCTTTGTTTCACACCAGTGTTAATCTGCCAAAAAGCAGCTCAGACAGTCAGTTTATCGCAATGTTATGCACATTTTCCTTTCTAGATTAAATTAGACTGAATGACATCACAGGGTAGGCTATAATGAACTAGATATTTTTTTAAATGTGAGACATATCCTCTATTCAACGTTTACTGAAAAAGCTTTAAGCTTTTCTGATGAAAGATGTCTGAGAATTTAGTCATGATACACTTGAATTCAATTGTAAAAAAAAAAAACTTTCAAAAAGTGTTCAAATTAAAATGTTTATACATTTTGAAGTAACACCCACAGCCTCCGTCTTATCGGGATGTAATTGGATTGATTACCACACACATAAATTTAGAAGAAAATTATGAATGTATAGAATATGTTTGTATTCAGACACCCTTGAATTAGTTATTTTTAAAGTCACGTTTTACTCCATTACAGCTGCAAGCGTTTTTCTTTTTTTGTATTTCTCAGCCAATTTTGCACCTCTACAGACTGAAATAAATTACTCAGGCTCCTTTTTACCACCGATTCTCAATTGGATTTTGGTCTGGACTTTATGCGTTAACATGCTTTGAACAAAAACATTACCATTTTGTCAGAAGTTCGGGGTCCTTAACTCATGTGAGTTAAATCTCTGTAACAGTCCAAAGTCTTTCTGTCAGCTCTCACCCAGCTTTCATGTCGCTGTTGCAAAACACATCTCCACAGCATGATACCATCACCACCATGTTTTAAAATTTGGGCTTTGTTTAGAGGACAGCGTGTCGTGTTTTTTTTTTGTTTTTTCTGCTACACTTTGATTTGTTGGCTAAAAAGTATGTTTTTTTTTTATGACCTACTTACAGACACTGTTATTTTCTCCCTCCTGGCTTGTGCAGCCAGTGCAAATAACAGTTTGGCGATCTGTTTTTGAAGATAGCCAACCAACAATTTTACCGTAGCATTTCCTGTGGTAGACTCATGCATCGGCTGTGTGCACAGGACACGCTGGTGCTGCAGATTTTATATCCCTGAGTATATATCTGAATGTCCGATGCTTCGTTTTAAAGCTCATACCAGCCGATACTGATAACATGCTGATAGTATTATGTATCCCTAAAAAACAAGTTATGTATTGTTGAAATAAAACTTGAACAGTGCCTTGCGAAGAATTTCACTCTCCTTTAATCTATTTGAATTTGTTTGAGAAACAAACAAAAACATCTTTTACCGTATTTTAGTTCACTGACCAGAATTTCCTCGTATCTTTGCTGCATCCTCTTCATGGCTCGTGGAAAACTGCAAACAGGAGTTTTAACTGCTTTCTCTCAGAAACGGCTTGCCACCCGCCACTCACACTTTAACCTAAACACGCTTTATACTTTCCACAACCTCATCCCTGTCCTGCTACGTTCCTTGGTGTTCTTGATGCTTTTTGTGCTCTGATATGTTTAACAATAATGACAATAATAACATATATTGTAACCTCAACGTGCAATATGTATGATCATCAAAGCAAGGTTAAAAAAATTAGATCAATTTAAAATATATACAAATAAATAGTGCAACGAAAATATTGTGCAGGGTACAAAAAAACCCAAAAACGTTTTTGGTCCTTTTTAAGAATACTCAAAAGTCTGCGGTTCCCTCAGATGGTCAGGGAGGATAATTAAGTCAGAGGAGCGGCAAAATGGTCCCTGATGCTCAGCTTAATGTTACATAGATACATACCTTGCAGAACTAGGGAGACAGAGAAGTTAGTGGAAGATGGAGATATTGTGGTTGTAATTTCTACTGTGAAGCCTTTTTAGAAGTGCTGCTCTAATATAAATAATAGGTTAAACTCAGGTAGACTAATTTCACTAAACAGTCAGCCTCTCAAGGCAGGAACTTATTTTAAGACTTATTTAGGTATGTAAATGGGTCTGAATAGAATGTCCAGGCTTAGTTTTTCAGTTTTTTTTTATTTTAGCTTTACACTTCTGAAGTACTGTGTGCTTTTTCATTAATCAAAAGCATAAGGATGTGGTTGTAACAAGACAAAACTGAGCAATTTCAAGAAGAGCGAATACTACTGTAAGTCAATGGAAACTAACCTAAAAAAGGCCAGTTGACCCATCCCAAATCTCTTTTCCCAGGTGTTAGGCAGCATGATTACTCTGGTCGGTGGCCTGCCATTGTGCTCTATGAAATCATCAAGGAAGTTCCACTGCGTCGATGGAAGGAGTTCCTGCGGCTGCTCTCTGTGCCCGACCAGCAGATGGAGCGAGTGGAGCTGGAGACCACTCTGGGATCCATGGAGCAGCAGTATCAGATGTTGAGGCTGTGGAGCCAACGCTCCTCTGCGAGCCTGAAAGATGTTTACTCCTCTCTGCACCACATGGATTTATCAGGCTGTGCCCAGCAGCTGCAGGAGAACCTGGAGAGGCTACAGTGGAAGCCAGAGGTGCTGTAGGGCTCCTGATTCTGCTGCTGCATCAGGAATGAGTACAAATCCATCTGTAATACAGATGGAGGAGGGAACAACAGTTCTCTCTGGGTGCCCTCGCAACATTGGCAGTTTGTCTTGGAAAAGTTAAAGGACAACTGCACCGATGTCACGTATTTCATGAACTCTGTAGCTGAATATAATCATGAAAGCAGAGGTGGGTTTTTATTGACCTGCCAAGAGTTTAAGTATTTTTCTGAGTATTTACATCCTCTAGTAAACACCAAACACATACACTGCGCACTCGAAGGAGATTTGGTCGAGAGCAGAGACTAAAGGAAAAAGAAAGCAACCGCAGCAGTTCTTAGAAGCTATTTGTTTCTCTAAGTGTTCATGATAATTCTCCAGTAATCTATTGTGAGATGAAAAAAATATTTCTTTCAATTGGGGAAATGCCTCTCTTTAAGTTGTAAATTTCTGCCTTGAAACCCTCAAACAGACACCACTCTACCTCTTTTTCTCTCATGTGGGCATCATTTATAGTCCAAAAGCAGAGAGTTGTGGTTTTACAGCAACACGCTGACGTTCATATATGACTAAGACTTGCATGCTCTAAGAGTTTGCTGAAAGGATACATTTCCTGCTGTAGTTCAGCTCCTGAGGTTGACCTTTAGTTTGTTTGGTGTTTTGACTAGTTGTAACAAAGACTTTATCAGTTTTATAATTTCTAATGCTCAGAGATTTTGACTCCGTCTGTCATGTTTGAACAACATGGATGCAGAGGCATTCCTTCAGCAGGAAAGTCTTGTAGTACAGCACAGCCACTGTGGCTCACCACTTAATGAAGGAGATGACTGAAATCCCCGAAGGACGTCAGATTTTCAGTTTCCTGCAACTAAAACGGTGTCAGTGTGCAGTAGGCTGGGTTTTTCCTCACCACGCGTATTCCATTTAAAGTGATAGTTGTACCTTGTGGTGTTTAAGTATCTCAGTTTGAGAGTTTTTGTGTGTCGGTTCAGTTTATTCACAGGAAAGGAAACAAACTTTCCAGTTCCAAGGAGGTTATTAATTCATGTTTGCTTCCAAATGTGTTTTTGATCCTGAAACCTGTACATGAGTTTATATTTTGTAGATATTACATTTTTTTGTATTTTATGAAACTATTTATAAATGTTCTTCCAAATGTTTTCTAATTTAATTTTGAATGTTTTAGGATGTAATATGATAAAGCAATAAAGGGGTCCTGTAATAAATCATGTCTAAACAGTTTCATGTGACACATAATGATAAATAAAAGAAAAATGTTGGTCCCATTCTTGATGTGCAGATTGAGTATTTGAAGAATAACTACCCTGCCTGGGAGAATGATTTGTAAACATCTTTATTTGAGCTGTTTTTCAGTGTAAATGTCTGAAAATTAATTAGCTTAGACATTTTTGAAGTTAAAAATCTATAGTGCAGCTAAAGAAAAGGGTAAAAAAAATAACATTTTACTTGAGCAGCAGTGACATTTTGAGTCAACTCCAGTAAACTGGAAATGAGTTGCAAGAAAGTAAAGCTCTACTTTGGTAAGAGTTAAAATAATGTGGCATTAGTCATTCCTTAATTTTGCTTTATCAAAACAAATTCTGCACAGAAAAACGCTAATAAAATATAACACAAAGTCTCTTTTTTCTTAATTACAAGTAGGGCTGAAACAAACGGATTAATCGCGATTAACTGATTATTGAAATAATTGCCAACTAATTAAGTAATCAGTTAATCAAGAGTATAGAGGTTATAAAACATGCCTTGACCTGATAAAGCAAGTGGAAAAGTTTTAGCTCTAACTAGTTTATTTTATAATACAATCTTCTTTAAGGAACCTTTTGCTGTCCGATTATTGATCGATTAATCGGACAAAATAATCACTAGATGAATCGATTTGCAAAATAATCGTTAGATGCAAATCATTTTTAATGCAAAGAATGCTGTTGTTTTCTGTGCTTTTGCTGTGCATAAACTAGTTGTGAAATTACCTTGTCCACGTGCAGCCCGAAGGGTCATAACTAGGAAGCAGGGGGCTTTTTGTGGTTTCTAATGGCAACAGGCCGCAACCTGAGCTGCAGGAGGAGGAGGCAAAGCGAGGCATTGCTTTACCAACATGTGAGGCATCGTGGTGTGTGTGTTTTTTTTGTGTGAAAAAATCACAGTTCGTCTCTTCTATTTAATTGACAAATCTTAAATAAAGACGTTTGAGTTCATTTAATTAGGGCAAACTCGCGTTGCCATAGCAACCGTGCGTAAACAGTGGATCCGTTTCTGAAGGGGAGCCCGGCTCGCCTGCTCCCAGGCTCTTCGTGAAAAGAAAAAAAGAAAGTGAAGATCAGGAAACTCTAAGACTACCACCGGGGGTAGGTTGGTGGTTTTCTTTCTCTGTGTATTCACGCGTTAGTTGGTTTTGGTGATAAAAAACAGAAGTTAGAAGAGGCTGATGTTGTCAGCAATATGACCACATGGGGGCGTTGGGACATTTCCTTATTGTTCATTACAAGAATTGATGTATATTTTTTTTCAGTTCAGAGGCTGATTTTTTTGTTTGTTTGTTTATGTTTATGTTTTTTCTTTCTTTCTTTCTTTCTTTCTTTCTTTCTTTCTTTCTTTCTTTCTTTCTTTCTTTTTGTTTTTGTTTTTTTACTTTAGTTAAGTTTTCATTTTTGGCGATTATCATCATCATGGTGGCACCAATCTGTTGAAATAATCCAAAGGAAATAAATAGAATAATTCACACTCCAGTGTTTAAAAAAACTAAGCGAAAAAGTTGAGCTACTAAAAAATATACACTCTGTATTTTTGATGTCCTTTTGCAGAATTAGTCTGAGATTCTGTTTGATCTAATAGGTTAGTTTGATAGCAGACTTCAGGCCATTTTTATTGAGGGATCTGGGTTCTTTAATTTTCCTCCCAAAACTTACTCTTTCCCCAAAATTCATGTAATACATCAATAAACACGTTTAATTTTACTTCAGAAACCCTAGTTTTTACTGAAGCTTAAAAATACTGAGTAGAAATTATGACGAATACTCTAATAGAGTTTACTGCACCAAAAGTCACTTTTTTCAGTGTACACTGACTCCCAGCCTCTATTGGAGCATGTAGGGCCTCAAAAATCCTCTCAAGGTTGCAGTTATCCCTTTTATTTTGTTATCTGCATATATGACTGGTTGCACAATCAGCCACTATAAATATGACTTTTTGTGATTCCTCCTCTTTAAAAGTACGAAAGATCTTTTGGACACCTCCGGTCAGCGTCTCCTCTATGATCGTGAAGCTTACTGATCCAGACTGAGAGCATTTAAAAGTTCTTCACACTTATCCAGGGGATTTAAGTTAAATAGCTGTTTAGGATTTAAAATCATGAAATTTAAATGTTTATTTTAGTATTTAAATTTCTTGAGACAGATTTGAGGATTTTATCATCTAAAAGCCATAGTCTTCAAAATACCATTATATAAAAGGCTTGAAATACTTTTATTGATGTGTAATGAACTGAATCTCTGCAATATTCTAATAAATTACTTAACTTTTTTCTGACATTCACATTTTTGCGATGTTTCAGTAGTCTTAGAAACGTTTATGAAAAATTGGCATGGGGTGGTGCAGGGGTTAAGCAAGCCCTTAGTTCTCTATGCTGCTGTTACACTTAAGGTTCGACAGATTGCAAACCATCCACCTCTTTCTAATCCCATTTCCTGTTTGCCTACTATGTCAAGTTGAGTGAAGGTTTGTAGAGGACCTAAATACACCAGCTTAGGTGGTTTCTTGCTGTTTTAATAATTAGAGTTGTGGCAACAGAAGTATGAATCCAGAAATAACTAACCAGGGAACACAGGAATCCAAGCAGAGGAGAACAGAACTTCCAAAGGGAAGGAAGATAACCCAGCCAAAAGTAACTACAGAGTAAAAGCATAAATGCTAAATAGAACAATGAATGGAGCAAACAACTGATTGGGAGAAGGTGTGGGCAGAAGCAACTAGAAGGGAGCGAAGGGGGGATGGAGGCAACAGAGGGAGCAACAGAGAGTAACCAGGCAATACAACAGGGCTTAAATATATTTATATTAGAACTTAAATTACACTAAATGGAAATGAAACTAATGACTAGAAAACACAGAATAACATAAATCAAAGTGTAACTGAAAACACAACTAAAAATACAGATCAGAAAATCATGACGTATTACCCATAAAAAACAACAACAAACAAAAGCCATTATTTCCTAAGAATAATCTTAAAAAACAAGCAAACTGGTAAGTGTGGTGTATAATTTTCACCATGAGTAACGCGTGCAATAATTACATGCTAATGTATTTTGAGAAATGTTTCTACCAGCCTCTTACACCCGGAGCTGAAGTTTTTAATACTTTCTTTGCACAATTTCCCATGCTCAGTCAGACTGAACAAATATATTTGGTGTAAAGCAATTCACTGGACTTTGCAAAATTTGAGTGTACTGGGTATTAATTGTAGTATTTTCCTCTTTTCACAGTGGGATATCAATATTATTACCGCATGAAGAACTGAAGAGAGTAAAAAAGAGAGAGGGACATTGTTCTAATCATGAGTGCTTCAGTTTGCCCTAAAGTCAGTGCTTCAGAGCTGTGTGCTGATGGGGACAGTTTCCTTAAAAATGGAAAGTTGGGGAAGGCCACCTCACTGTACATGTCTGCCTTCAGGACTCATGCAACCTCTGCTGTGTCCCACATGAGAAAGCTGGAAAGATCTAGTCTGGAAAAGGTCATTTCTACTCTAGAAGGCTGGCTGGACAGTCCTGAGGGCAGCCAGTCTGCTGAGAGTTTTAATAAAGGCCTTTTGGCTGTTTTTCTATCCACACTGTGCCCTAACAATTTGTCTGCCACAATTTTTAAAATGGAATCACTTCTGCAGAGTGGCGGGTTTGGCTGTGAGGAGATTTCTGCACGCTGCACAGCCCTACTTGAAGGCAAATGTAATCCTCATCTAGAAGGTTCGACTCGTATTTTGCTGGAGATAACCCAAGCTCTGGCCTATCTTTTTTCACAACCTCACAGTCTGAAGGGAGTGAGACTTTACCTAAAAGCTTATCATGGTAACAAATTAGAAACTGTCTCACTAATCCACACCAGACAAGCTGCGCACCTGCCCAAAATAGTAAAAGCCTTTAAAGACCAAATAATACAAACATGTCCCCATATTGCATTATATAATAAGAAAGCAGCGACCACAGATGAGAAGGAAACAATAGATTTACAGGATTTTTCTATAGCTGTTGAGTTTTTAATGACCCTCTCCCCTGATGACAGAGAAGTACAGGAACTTCAAGCAGCAGATTTCTTCTTGATGGGTAGGTTTGCAGAGAGTGCAGAGGTGTACTCTTCACTTCTACATCAGAAATGGCCAGTAGATTCTGAAGGCAAATTACTCCAGGGTGATCTTGAGAGGAAAGCTAGGCTTTTAACATGCCGAGCAGCTGCTTGCCTCTCAGCAGGTGGAAAAGCTGCTGAGAACTGCACAGATCTGGGAGAAGCATTTGAGATCCATCCTGCCACCGCCAGAACTTACTTCAAAAAGCTCTTTGATGATTGTGGGACAGGGGTTGCAGCTCGCAGCCATCTCCGTCAGCAGGCAGAGAGAGGTCTGTCTGTTTTCAGGGAGAGGGTCGCTGTCCGTGCAGACCTGAGGTCTACAGAGGGAGTTGAGCTCCTTGACCTGGTTATCACTGCCTTACGTACTCTGTGCCATTTAGAGCCTGATGGAGGAGGCAGAGAGCTGCGGGTGAGACTGGCTGACTGTCTCCTACTCAGAGGGGAGCACAAAGAGGCTCTCTCCATCTGTAGCCAACTAGCTGCTGCCCAAGGACAGCAAAGCTATCACAACACTGTCAAAGTTCTTTGTGGATATGGCCGACTTCTTTCTGGTGATCACAAGGAGGCATTAAAAGACTTCCAAGCTGTGATAGAACACAACACCCCTCACCCTGCCAGCTGTGTGCGGGCACTCTGTGGCAGGGGGCTGCTGCGCATGATGGCTGGGTCAAATTACCTCACAGCTCTGGACTTTATGACAGCCAGCAGGCTGGATCCTCAGGAAACAGCTCTGACTGTTCGCTGCTTAGTACCGTGGAACTTCAGGGGGCTTCTGTTTACAGTTCTGCTAGAGCAGGGGCGAGTCATGCTGGAAGGGTCGGCAGGGGACAGATCCAAGTCCTGTTCAAGTGAGGATCAACAGCGTGTCACACAACAGGAGCCGCTGCAGGCGCCTTCGAAGAGGGAGGACCACAGATCAGGGTATGATGTTTATCGTTTCTATAGGTTATTTAGTATAAACACATACATAAGATAAGTTATATGGTGCCTGTCTTGCTATTAATGTTAGAAATTCATGAGTTGACACATTATAACAAAACTCACACATATTTAGCTAAAACAAGTATGAAGGGTTGTAGATGGTCTCATACCTGGAAAACACATCTCACCACTGATAATAAACTAAAGCATTACATTTATTACACTGCCATAATAATGCGAAGCTTGCAATGTTTCGTCACATCACAACCACGAACAGCAATGTGTTTATTAGAATTGATGTTAGTGCAACACAAATTTGTGCATTTCTGAAAGAGGAAAGAATATTATAAATCTCCTAAATATCTAAAAGCATAGTAAAACATGTCTTTATTTAAACCATCCATTCTAACTCCGGCAGTATACTTACTTTCATTCTATTACTAAAAGTTTTATCTCAGCTCCAGCCCTAATTGTTTGTAGCCTCGAACATAATTTTCCCTCAGGATTACCTTGTTTGTAACTACATCTGTTTTAACGTTAGATCTGTTCAGCTTCCCTGTGTATACTGCTGAAAAACATTCCCAAAGCTTGAAGGACAGTGTTTGTTCAGCAGGATGTTAAGTTTTTTTTTCCCCCCTGACATTCGATTCCATGCTTCATTTTACGAAGAATTTTTCATGAAATATTCAAAGCTTTGGGTGTTGTTCTCCAACCCTAACTCGCTCTTAACAAATCCCTAACTTAAATCCCAACCTGTTGAGTGTTTTCTTTAGTCTTTGGGATGCTGCAAGTTGTTTATTTGTTTACCTATGTCTAATAATAAATGGCTTTACTAATTATGTTTTTTTTCTGATCGCAAAAGGCTGCACTGCATTTTGTTTAAGGGTGTCATAGTAAACAGAGCTCAATACAGATGTGTGACACAATACATATATTTATGATGTTTGTAACATTAAAAAAAACTAAACTTGAGCATTTGAATACTTACAAATGTACAAATACAAATGTATAAAAAATAGATAGACCCTTGTAATAAAGCATTACAATCATGTTATCATTGTAATGCATGTTATGTCTGCTCCTTTTTTCTTGGTTTGTACATTAGAACTCCTGCTGGTGTCCATTCCCTGGCTGGGTTGCTCATGGATCTACAGCCCAAAGCTGATGGGCCTCTCATCCTCACAGCAGATGCCTTGTACCAGCTTGGCCGGGTAGAGGAGGCCTATAGGTTATTACTGTCTGCAGGTTCCCCCAATCCTCGGGCTCCTCTCCTGGCTCGCCTCGCACTCCTTCAGCTCCACAGAGGCTTTCTTTATGACACCAATCAGGTACAACGGTTAGAGAGAAAAATTATATTTTTTTTATTTATGATGATTTATAACATAGCATTAGAGGAGCCAGACAAGCAAACAACCAAACCCAGTTATCCTGTAATTTATTCAAACAACTTTCCAGACATTTAATGTGAGTCATAAAACAAAGACCTTCAGGAATTCATTTAAAGCCTTTTAGTTACACTTTGTAATTTATAGAAGGTTTATTCAATCCCATTTCTCTACAAAAGGAAACACAGTAAATCTCTCTTTGTTTTATTTCACATACTAAAACACAAAGTTACCGGCAGGTATCTTACTCAGTACAATCATTTTTAATTATGTCTACTATGAGGCATGAGCCAAATAGACAATTTTTCTTCTTCAGTGATTTAGGGAGTTTCTTCAAGGTGACAGTTGGCTCTAATTTCTAGACCAAAGACAGTAGATCTCATCAACTTATAACTTTGAGGGAGTAACTACCCAATTAACTACCCTCTTATCCATTTTCTACTACAGCTGCTGAAAAAGCTTATCGCGTGCAGTGATACAAGTTGCCTGCGCAGCCTGCTGGCTGTGGCACAACAGAAAGACCGAGCACTGCTGCAGGGACACTGTCACGCTGCGGCTAAACGGATCCTGGACGGCTCAAGAGAGGAAAGCTCTGTCAGGGAAGCTGTGACGCATCTTTCTATTGCTATCATGGCCTCTGGTGATTCACTTTACTAAAAAGTTCTTGATATTGTGTTGTAAAAAATTTATTTTTTTTACAACAATTATTATATTGGAATACTGCAATCTTTTTTTAAGGTGGCAAGGCAGCAGATTCTCTGTTGGAAAGAGCAAGGTGTTATGTATTACTTGGCCAGAGAAAAACAGCCATATTTGATTTCAGTGCCATTTTAAAGGAGCATCCAAAACATGTTGCTGCTCTCTGTGGAAGGGGATTCACATACCTCATGCTCAATCAACAAAAGGTATTTTTCTTTTAAAACATGTGAAACTGTCTTAACAGTGGATGGGTTTCATCTGAATCTAAAAGATCCAGAATTTATGAATAACAAAGACTCACTAACTCAATAATTATTTGAGAATTTTTGGGCCGATCAGATAAAACCATCTTAGTATTTTTACAATATTAGCCTGCTATATATATGCAACTGTGTGTCACCCTGAGTCAACACATAGGCTTTTTGAGTAGTCAAGCAGATCTTCTGTACTAAATGTATTTGTTTATTGATGCATGCTATTGAGAAGATTTTTTTCCCCTTTAAATCTATCCTAAACTGGAATAAAAATGAAACTCTAGTCTTCATGATGTCAGAGGTCACAGTAACTATTAGCAGTTGGCCAATGTTAAGCTTGTGAGAATGATAGTGCTGACATCTGTCACAGCTTTCTCTTCTTCCTATCCAGGAATGTGTTCAGGATATCCTCACAGCTCTTCAGATAGAAGCCAAAGCAGTCATCAAAGAGATCCTTCTTCTCAAGGACAAAGCCCAGAAGCTGCTCTGTGATTGGCTGCATCAGTTCTGTCGCAGCACTTTGTCAAACACTGTGAGCACTCATTCAGTTCCATGCCACAATGAGCAGCTCAGGGAGGCTTTCCTAATTGGTGGAGTTTTAATGAGAACTGACAGCAGAAACCCCAAATGGCATCTTCTCTATGTGGACACACTTTTAGCTAAAGGTTGGTCACTGTCTTAACAACATGTACAAAGAAAATATGAAATTGTTTCTGTCTGAACATTTTCTAGCTATAGGGCTGTAGTTTGGCTGTCATTAGGTGGGTCTGTCTCCTTCAGGTGATATTAAGTCAGCTTCCAGCCATCTCTGCAAGGTATTTGGCTTGGAACCAAGGGATGCAGCAGCCCAGGCCAGGCTGGGAGTGTTGGAAACCTGGCAGCAGAAATACAGCACCGCAGCCTACAGGCTCAGCAAACTCCATGAAAAAGATAGACCTAGTCTGGACTTCTTGCTGGCTCTGATCCCATTTAATCAGCGGAAATACGTGGCACAGGTAAGTCTTAGTGCAAGAGTCAAACCCTTAGTACCACTGTGAGAGTGGGGGATACATTTTGGTATATGATTATCCTAAACCAGGGGTAACCAATTAAACATCAACGGGGTCCAAATAAAGAAAATCAGCAGTAAAGGTCAGCAGAATTTTTTTTATTATAATCTGTTACTATAAACAAAATTTAACTGAAATAAAATGAGGTGTTTATGCATCCATTGAATATTTAAATAAAATTAAAAAAAGATTTTTTTTTTTTTTACTTTTTAAAGATCTAATGTGTTTTTTTAAGTAGAGAACAACAATCATTCAGTTTGGTAAATAGACAATTTCATGATTCACATATTATAAAACACCTGAACTGACCACTTTTTTTTTCTTAGCTTTTTCTGGCTTAATGAGAGCAGTGGGCTTTACGCTGCCCTGCAAGGCTTTAAACCAGGCTTTGAATGGAGACAACACCATTCTCAAGCATATATCAAGGTTCTCATTTTGAGCCTGGATCCATATTTATTTTTAATTATGGTCATTCTCAAGAATCCTGCTTCACAGCAGTAGATTTAGCCAAATATACTCAAATTGTGTCAGGGCCTTTCACCAGTTCACCGCAGTTCTTCCAGCAGTCCACACTTTCTTTCACTTTTTCTCATCATCTTCTCCTTCTTTCCCATCGCCCGGCTTGCTGCAGGTTTGCCTGCTGTGTCTCAAAGTAGCTAGCAGCAGCAGCCCTAATTGACACAGTTAATTAGCTAATTTGTATCACGTGTTAATGCTGGGACTGAGGTTCATTTCCAGCAGGACAAAGACCCTAAAAATTAAGCCAACGCTAAAGAGGAAGAATTTTGAAAAAATATATGCATTTATTTAAATGTTGTCTGAACCAGAACATGCAACAAAACCTAAAAACTGATCTTGATAGAAACTCGATATCAAACTGGGTTTATTAAATTCAGCCTATAGGTGTGCTAATATGAGATTCTCACATTAGTACAAATGTGAGAATAAATGCATGCCACGTATATTTTTATTTACAAATATATATGCGCCATGTTTAATTTCTCTTTAAATTTGAAATCATGAAACATTTTGTGACCTTATGTAAACAGGTCAAGAGGTGTCATTTTGTGTGGTACTGCATCTATTATAAAGTTTGCTTTAGTATCTTTTAACTTGGTTTTTAATTTAATTTAGTTATCAATGTTCACTAAACTCAATTATTCAATAAAAAAAAGAGAGAAATATAAATAGATCTGCTTTTTAAACCTCAACAGGCAGCAGCCCAGGAAGCCAGCGTCTTGTCATCATCTGGTCAGTGGGACCAGGCTCTCACACTCCTGACAGTGGCAGTACAAGCAGCGGGCCATCACAGATCACAGTATCTTCGCCAACGGGCTGCATGCTTGGCACAGCTTGGCTTACATGGATTAGCCATAGCTGACATGGACAAAGTTATCCAGAAACATGGACCTGTCGCTAGCTGCCCAGACGACCCCAGAATCTGCGTGGAAGACATGTGTCGGCGAGGCCACAGCTTGGTGCTGTGCTCCAAAGAAGGAGCAGCTCTGGAGGATTTCACACAGGCTCTGGACCTCCACAAGGAACAGGCCCTTCACTGCATAGAGGAAGGTCTCGGAAAGCAGCGTCTGGCTGAGTGCTTCATGCGAGGGGCTCTGCAGCAGTATGGGGAGCAGCAGCTTGATAAAGCTTACACACTGATTGAATATGGCCTGGTTGTGGACAGTGAGAACGCAGAGCTTCGCAGACTTAGATCAAAGGTCAAACGAGAAGTGGCCAGCCCATGCAATGTCAACTAGCACTGATTAAAAAACATAAGGTGGACACAGAAGCTTTGTTTGTTGGAGAAACGATCAAACTGATGAAACATCTTCTAGATTCTTATAACATAAATCCTTGTTATTAATGCACATCACTTTACTTGATGTCTTCCACGATGGAGGTATGTTTAATGTGAAATATATTGTTATTTTTTTAGTACTGAACAACACAATCAGATTACCTGAATATAGTACATATTACATTTACCATCAGAACATTAGTAAAGTCACTATAAAAACAAGCAATTGATATAGGTTCTTAATTGACAGAAAAGCAGGACTTCAACCCTTGATATTTATTTCAAACTGTCCCTCCTGAAGAGGAGTATTTTTAAAAAGTGCCAAATGTGCAGGTTTCGAGTTTTTAAAATGCAGGAGACATTTCTTAAATTTTATTCATGGCAGCAAACACTCTTTGAAAAGCCAAAAAACAAAAACAGAAAAGCAACAAATAAATACTGGGTTTAAAATGTAAAGGATAATTTAAATACAATATCCGGGCATTAATATGTTTATCTGTATGGGTTGAGTTAATTGGGATTCATTAAAGATATGCTTTTACTGTTTGTGCATTATGTGTAGAGAGAGACGCAGCATGTACTTTGTCATTAAGCAGACACAGTGATATATTGGGGCTCCATATTGCCAAAGTAGGATTTCTCCCATTCACTCATGAGGTCAAAGTGTAGTGGACGGTCACAGAAGGTACAGGAGGCTGTGGCTGGGCTATTGAGAGGGAGACCCACCTCCTGCCAGACATCCACAAGTTTCACTGTAAGTACAAAAAGGAAATTGATAATAGTTAGGAATTTAAAACAGATTTGTGTGTGTGTGTGTGTGTGTGTGTGTTTTAATTTATGTTGTGACAGAGGTCACCGAAACACTTTAAAAAGATAAATCCCCTGCATGGACTCATGCATTTCTGACCTCAATGTAGTAAAAATCCACACTCACCCACAAAGTCCTCCATCATGCTGGGGTCATGATGGGGAGATGGAGCAAGGCGCAGCAGCTCCTCACCACGAGGCACAGTGGGGTAGTTAATGGCCTGGACATAAATGTTGTGTCTCTCCATTAAGATGTCGCTCACCTTAGTGTTCAGCTCAGCATTGCTGACCTGGAAAACAGGACAGGCACACTTTTATGTAAGGTTTGGAATATATGATGAGAAAAATTATGTAAAATGTTCTTTTTTATACAAAAAAACTCTACAATTGTATGTGGAAATTATCATTTAAACTGAACTTGGCAGTATATGACTAATTCTAAATATAAGGGGACCCATCCTACCCGAATGGGGATGATGTGGCTCGGGCAGTTAATGACAGGTAGGCCTTTGTCCATGAGCAGCTGCCTCATGAGTTTCACATTCCTCTGGTGGGCCCTGCGCAGCCCCTGGCCCTCGGTGCTCCTCAGGACCCGCACAGACTCCAGAGCCCCAGCCAGAACCATTGGGGGCAGAGCAGTGGTGAAGATGAAGCCTGCTGCGTAGGAGCGCACCGTGTCCACCAGGGCAGCGCTGCTGGCAATATAGCCTCCGACGCAACCAAACGCCTTTCCTTAAGCAGTAACATAAGACTGATTATGTCTGTGCCAGTGTGACATGAATGAGTAAAATAATGTAATTATTTTTTATTAAAATCAGGCTGTATAAATATATAAACTTAAGTTATTGTTTCTTTACAATGCTAACAATTTTCGCAGACTTTTTTTTTAGAGGATGAATAATATATAATGCACAACCTATTACGTTTAATGGAGCATAATATATATTTTTTTCTTTTAATATATTTGGAAAGATTTTTTCTAAATGACATTTAATCAAAGATTTCCTCAAAACAAATACAGAAACAAGTTTTGTGATTCTCAGCAGAAAACAGTTTTAAAGGTTCAATTACACTGTTGTCTCTATCTGACATCAAAATAATTTAAACATAGCTTGTTTTAGGGTAAATTATTCCTGTTTGTTAAATGTTAGGATAATTAGATTTTTAAAAATGTCTTCAATTCCATATGTTTTAGTCTTCCCAAAAGATGATGTCAGAGCTTTTTAAAGCTTCTGATGGGTAGATTCATAACCTTTTTGATAAACAGAGGTACACCTAAGGCCAAACTTCCAAACACATTGATTCCTCATTTCAAAAATACGTTCATATTTTCTTATTCCGTCAGGGTCATGGTGGGTCTATTATATAATATATAATGGAAATAGAAATGAGAAATGATAAAACAAAAAAATAATTTTGTAAATGGCAACTAATCTAGAACAAAAAGAATTAGCCAAATTACAAAAAACAAAGAGTTTCAGGAATTTATATGTAACTATTTTAGGAAATGTTCTTTTACTTTTTACAGCTGCAACATCTTCTATCTCAATGTTCAGCAAACAAAATTTACTGCTGCTAATTCCAGAGTTTTTTGTTTGTGCAAAATATATTCCAAACACACAATATATAAGCCCTAGTTTTAAAAATTTAATACAGGTCAGTAATATTGCTGTTCATCAGTTCTCTACAGTTCCATGGTCTCAGTGTTATTGAATGTATATTAAATGATTAAATAAAGGTAAAACTCCTGGAGCGTCGCACCAACAGGACAAATGAGATGCAAATGTCAAGGGTAATAATCTTGGATTAGTTTATGTTGTTTTCTTTCTGAATCATTGCAGCTGTCCTTAGTTACACTCAGCATGAACTGCATGAGGATAGCTTTATCAGTGCCGCCAGAGAGGGAGGAGAACCGACACCCAGCTGATAAAACGCCTGCTCCACTGATGAAAGCTTAAGCCTTTTCTGCACTTCAGAAAAGTCATATGGAGAAAGTTTTTGCGGCTATTTTGGCTTAAGGACAGTGTGTCGGTTTGTATAGAACTGGCTTGGCATTGGAGATTAGCACCGACAGAAACGAATTCAGTTTAAACCTACATATTTGCACTTCCTTTACAAAGTTTGTAGAAATTAAAACAGAATAATTTGTTCATGTCAAAAATAATTGACAATTTCCAAAATGAAAAAGCAAAACTGTTATATTTCAGAGAAGCTATTTCAAACAAACTCACCCAAGGTTCCGGACACCACGTCAATCTTATGCATCACGTTGTCTCTCTCTCCGACTCCGGCACCATGGGCCCCATACAGACCCACAGCGTGGACTTCATCCACAAAAGTCAGGGCTCCATAGCGATGAGCAACGTCACACAGCTCTTCTAAAGGACATATGGCTCCTGGAGACCCAAAAGAGAGATAATCAGCTTTGTTAAAAATTGCAGCACATCAACTGTGCATATGTTCATCTGATTGCTGAATGCACTTCAGTATTTTTGTGTGTTTATCTTTACTTTGGTGGGATTTGGGGGATTTTTCTCAAACATGTTTACTTAGGTAAAATTCAACAGAGTTCTTAATGCAGTCTCATTTGTTGATATCCAATATTCTCTTTTATTTTCAAAAAAATCAAGACCAAAGCAGGTTTCCTGATGAACTACTAGTTTAATGCTGTTTTAAAGGCCACAACTTATGCTAAATTAATTATAGTATGCAAACCCCTGGAGGAAAACCCTGACCCACCTGTTGTTCAATCATTTTAAGACATGACAACAAATAGAATAGAATAAAACTCTTTTTGTTTGTCATTGCATATCAACAGCAAAAAGCCAGGTAAATGGAAACATAAAGGACCAACAGCTATTAAAAGAAATAATGAGACACTACAGTGTATGTATTTTTCACTTGCATGAAGGTCCTTATGAATGTAAGAGACCCACCGTTCATTGAGTGCACAGTCTCAAAGGCCACTATCTTTGGAGTCTTTGGGTCTGACTGCTGCAGCAGTTCCTCCAGATGTCGGCTGTCGTTGTGGCGGAAGATGAAGCGTTTGGCTCTGCTGTTCCTGATGCCTTGGATCATTGATGCATGGTTCCCTGCATCTGAGTAGATCTCACAGCCTGCACAGAAGAGAGAACACCCCATAAAATAAACGGCTACTTATATCCAGAGTTCGGTGGTTTTGGTTCAGACTGGAACAACTTTCTCCAGTTCTAAATTTTCAATGTATTCATCCAGCTCACAGGTTCCACTTACCTGGAAGCATTTTAGCCAGAGTGAAGAGGGTGGAGTCATTTGCAACAAAGCAGGAGGAAAACACCAGAGCAGCGTCTTTCTTGTGCAGCTGGGCGAGCTCCTTTTCCATAGACACATGGAAGTTGCTGGTGCCAGAAATGTTCCTGGTCCCACCTGCTCCTGCCCCGTGATTCTCCAGGGCATCTCTGAGGACAACCACAACATCAAAATACTTTGGCAAGCCTGAATCCTTTATTGTATGAAAATTTTATTATTTTGACAATAATAGTCAATCTATTTCTGTAGTAATATTGTCTAACTTGAATCTTATTTTGTCATCTTATTTTAACAGGCTTCCCTGTTTGCAATGCTGTCTTTTATGAGAAATAAAGATGAATGTTTTCAGAATTATTTTTTTTATGTTTTTAATTTTTATTAGATTCAGATGTATAATCAGAAACAGACCAACATTTTTTTTTTCTGAGAAATGAGATAAACATTTTGTCAATAAGTGACTTCAAGGTTTGGGCTTAAAACTAAAATCAAGTAATCATTTTGATATTTTTTTATACTGATAGTATATAATAAAATAGAATAGAATAGAATAGATCAGCAAAGGAAAAAAAGACCAATAGGAAAATAAGTACACTGAAGTTATTGAAAAACAATGAATTGAAATGTTTTTATGTTGCTATGTTATATTTTAGTTTGATTTTTCTGAATGCCTTTGATGTTTGGGTTTCATTTATCAGAGATGTTGAACCATGTTCCTGTTATTTTAGAAAAGAAGATTCTGATGCAGGAGAAACAGTTTTACAGTAAAAGCCAAACTTCCACCTAAGTTGAGTCGGACGCCAAAACATTTACTGGACAATGAACAAAACGGATTTTAAATATTAATCTTTCAAAATGTTTAGGCAGAATACTGCACAGAATAAAGAATAATTAGAATAGACTCAATAGACAGTCTCTGGATCTGCCTTTCTTCTGCATATTTTTGTGAATGCTGATGAACTCAATTAGAGACAAATATAAAAATATAACTGTAATACAGTCAGGTTTTACCTGCAGCTGCGTCTACATACCTAATAGCATCCACGACCTTCGGGTGACGGCTCATTCCTAGATAGTCATTGCTGCACCACACGGAAACCTGAGAGGCGTTTTCAGCAGAGCTGGAGTAATCCTCTGCATAAGGGAATTCTTTGGCACTCCTGTTCACCGTCTTAAACACTCTGTAAGTGTGATCCTTCTTTTTCTCAGCGATCTTCTCCATAAAGAAGCTGTCATAGTCATAACTTGGCCCAACTGGAATGAGGATTATATAGGCATAAAATCAGTGCTCAGATACAAGTTGCCTCAGACGTTTGTAGGGAATTAAACATATAAAATAAAGAGCATGTTGGAACTCATAAAGCTCACCCATGTTGTCATTGAGGTGGATGGCAGTGTTGGTTTGAAGGGACGATGGAAACACAGACTCTTTTAAACCTTTCAACAGAGAAGTCATCAAACCTGCAAGAAGTAGAAGTAGCTTTGAGAGTCCATATATGTGCATTTTTTGAAACTTGCTTCTCTTAGAGCCAAACTTATGATTTCTGTGGTCTTTACCAGCATTTCATACCTTCTTCAACGTCCTCCTGGACCTCAGGGCTTGCCTTCACCATCCCAATCTGCGAAGTGACAAAGGGGCAGCCCTTCGATGCAGACACTGCAACCTGAGTGGCAGTTTGAGCAAACCTCCTCCTTTGGTCCAGTGTTGGAAGCTGGTGGCCATTTGGCCTGGTGGATGATGAACTCAGGTTTTTCTCCAGAGAACCTGTACCGCTAACTGTGATCTGCCGAGCAATGATTGGACATTGGTCGGCAAGAGAAAGCAAAGCAGCTCCAGTTCTTCTTAGAGCTGGCTTTGGAACAGCCTTCAGGAAGGGGCAGTGATGAAGAAAGGCAGCCATCTTACAAAAGCTGTTCTTATTCTAATAAAAGACAGGAAAATAAGGCAATCAGTGAGTAATGCACAGGTTTTATCAGATGGTAAAGCAATCATGCTTTTGAAATAATAGTAGTGGGACTAAACCTGGCATAGCAGATGTAATGTTTCAGCTTTTTTTGGGGGGGGCTCTACTTTAGGGTGTGTCATTCAGCTTCAGCTTATCTGTTCACTGCAGGCGCTCAAGAGCTGTCTTGACCGACATCACCAGCTGATTACTGAAAAAAATTGTCCAGATACATACCACCTTTTTGTCTTCCATCGAAGAATTTATACTAATAAGCAAAAAAAAAACATTCTGACTCAATAGTCTGCAACTTCTGACATATAAACAAAAAGAAAGAATCAGCTTTTCTTTAATTCTTCAACTAGTTTGACCATATTTAGTTTCATTTTCAGAAAAGGGCGGTTCCCCGTATCTACTGTGGTCAACTGATAAGGCATTTCTTGGGATGGATTTGTGGCTTTCTTGTGGTGGAATGTTTTCTTTTCTTAGGCCTAATGATTTTGTTCAAAAATATCAATGTATTATTGCTATTATGTTTAACTTTGGCTTCTTTCATTGCTATCAGTTGAATAAAATATATAAACGAAAAACAGCCAAGATGTAAAGAAAACAAACATCTCATTTGGGTTACACTGAGACTAATAACCTGAATGAATAACCTAAATAAAATAAAACAAAATAAATGTTCAATAAACCAAAAATAAAATAGCTAAACAAATAAGAAATGTGAGCTTACCCGTTGACCTGCACTGAGGACGAACTTCAGAACAGCAAATAGGCAGAAAGTTAGAAGGCGTTGAGTCTTATGTGCTAGATGTTGAAGAGTATCATGCAATCAGCCTGGGAGGGGCCTGTAAAAGGGAGCTGTTTACGTATGTATGGGAGGTGCAAAGATGCTGATAGGGCTCAATTAAAGTTGCAAGTTGCTCTGTCCAGCTTCAGTTGAGTCTGAGGATAAATGATTATGTAATAATGAGGGAATTCAATGCAACTAAGAGGAAAATGTTAATCCTAAACCCTTTTTGGGCCTAGGATCCATGACAGCTTACATTTAAAAATGTCTTCTTAGAGCATATTAACAAAAACATTAACAAAACTCATTGGTTAACAAGTAGTTTTGCAATTTTCACTGTTATTATTAAAAGTAAATATGCAGCAGTAAGTCACAATTATATTATATCTGATAAATACTTATTGAGTGAATTATTTTGTCAAAAAAAGGACAATGGTCAGAGTACTCTGAGTGCAACACAGACTGTTTTCATATTCTGAAGGTCTCCGATTCATATTAACAATAAGTAAACATTTTTAACAATCAATAGTGGTTTATGCCAAGCAAGCAACAAACTTTGAATGACTTATAGAAAGAGTTGTATTGCTTTGTGTTGTTCTTGTGAACTTATAAAATGTTAAGAACTTAATGTCAAAACATTTCAAGGAAACAAAACCAAAAATGTTCACACTGGAACCGTGGATCATTATCAGCTATAACAAAAATCAAAGTTAATAAATAGTTCCTCTTAGTGGTATAATCTTTAATGCATTTCAATTTTAAAAATTATGCCACAACATTTCTAGTCAGGCACATTTTTTTTCCCAATAAATTATATTAAAATTACCTGAATGTTTTACACAGTAGATCCCTTCCAAGTTTTAAATACTGTTCTATTTAAGTACTCTAATAAGTCCTTTGTCTTCAACATTGTTTATTTTTTTTCACCAGCTCCTCTCAAGTGCTATAGGCAACAGTTATGGATTGCATTAAATAAATCTAATTTACTGTCTAGGGTTGAACTTTTTTCCTTTCCTATTTGCAAAACCCTCAAGCTCAGTCATACTGGATGCAAATATAAGGACCTATTTTCAACTCTTGTCTCACACTCCGAAATGAGTTTCCTTTGCAGGGTGGCTGGGCGTACCCTTCGAGATCGGGTGAAGAGATCAGTTACCCGGAAGGAGCTCGGAGTAGAGTCATTGCTCCTCTGGGCATCTCTACTTAGACAGCTGCCTCTGCAACTCAGCCCCGGATAAAAGGGAAGGAAATGGATGGATGGATGGATGGATGGATGGATGGATGGATGGATGGATGGATGGATGGATGGATGGATGGATGGATGGATGGATGGATGGATGGATNGATGGATGGATGGATGGATGGATGGATGGATGGATGGATGGATGGATGGATGGATGGATGGATGGATGGATGGATGGATGGATGGATGGTCTCACACTCTAGGTTTGGTTTCACTTTGACATCTAAACAAATTGAAGGTGTATTGATCTAATCATTGACCATGTTGAGGGATGCTACTCTGCTGCAAAGTAAAGAAATGATCCCATCCCTAAAGGTATATTGGAGGATTTTTGCAAATTTCTGAAAAGACCCACTCTCTCCACTTTAAAAAAAAATGCACATAAAAAACTCTGTACTGCTCCCGAGAGGGAACACTTATTAAACATTCAAAAGCATGCAGGAGCCCATTCCTACTCACACACGCTTTGTTTAAAAGTTGCTGTTTGCATCGCTCATATAAGCTTACTTTCCAAAAGAAGATTTTTTCACTATGTCAGACTCACCACCCGTGAGTGAAAATCGGGACGAGCACGTAGGACGGCCTTACGTAAACATATGACCAAAAGGATTGACAATTAGGAGGACCACTTATTTTGATGATCCACCCAGAAAAAGAACATCCTCCACTATATCTTTAGGTCTTTTGCATTCTCTATCAGGGTTTCTTAAATTTAGACCCCTATGTATACTATACTCGGAGAAACTGCAGCCATTATCATGTTTTACATTTGATGGGCAGTGCTAGCTTTCCAGTTTACAAAGGAACATGTACATCCTTTTTCTTCTGAACCCAAAACATTCTTTCAAATAACGTTAGTTGGATATAACTTTATATCCAAGTAACGTCTTCCTATGGGCAACGACTTGAAACCACAAACTAAACTGTTCATAACTTATTTTTTATGGTACCCCAATAACATGTAGGCGAATCACTGTCCCCCAGACATCCGTGGTTATATTTTTTATATTTATATTTTTTAAAACAAAGCGGAGGGATCCGCGCGCCGGACCGTAGTTGTGACAGGCAGCCCGAGCCACTGCCGGCTACGTTCTACCCCTTCTATTCATTCGGCTAGCTAATCTGAATGGTTAAATTCCATTTCGAGAGCGAGAACATCTGTGGTAGCAGCACTAGACATCTTCCAGGCATGTGAATAAAACTAGCAGCAGTTCAGTGGACAAGATGAATGAATGTTAGCCGGTGCACGCGGATGACGTCATACACACTCTGCTTTGTTTTTAAAAGATATAAATATAAAAAATATAACCGCAGATGTCTGGGGGACAGTAATTCGCCTACATGTTATGAATGCTGATCTACCATAAAGAACAAATTATGAACAGTTCAGTTTGTGCCTTCAAGTCGTTGCCCATAGGAAGACGTTACTTGATAACGGAATATCTTCAGAACAGCTCCAAATGACACAAAACTCATATGGCTATAGAACATGATGTAATAACGTAAAATCAAGGGCCAAATGTAAAAAAAACGGTGTTGCCCTTTAAACGAGGGGTACAACTTTGTCCAGATGTGTAATGTTTATTTGATAACATGGGTTTATTCTTATTGGCAGATGATTGGTTTATCAAACTCCTGAGTTTAAAAGATAAATATGTTATTCTGCTGGTATCGACTGACAGACAGAGGGCAGCAGAAGCAGGGTCCAGCTCCTCTTGACTGGATCACACAAGACAAGCAGCATCAGCATCACCACCATCATCATCAGCATCACCCTCCATTCTCGGTCACAAGGACAAGCTCTGCATCCAGAGCCGCACAGGGAACGAGGACAGTCTTTTTCATTTTCTGTAGTAAGAATCCTTATCACAAAGCAGCGACATGTTGGCCTGCACGGAGCTGATCACCATGTGTCTCCAATCCGCCAAACACGAACACCTGAGAAAGCAGCAGGAGCTCGACCATAACCAGAACCAAGGCATCGCTTTATTCCAAGATGTGAGTAAACACCGAGGCGCTCCAGCCGCAAAATGCAGCGTTTCCATTTATCTGTTCAATGCGTCTGCAGCTGGTATCGGATAAATGAATCTTTTGAATGTTTGGATCCTATTTAAAAGGTCTTCACTTTCTGCAGGGCTTTTATTTCCTCTCTGTACATTAAGACTGACTAACTGTCCTTCACTCCTCTTTATGAATGGCTCTCACTTAGTTAAAACATGCTCCATTCACGGCACTGTTACGTAAGAAAGGTGAATGCATTAGTGAATTAGGAAATAAAACATTCCTCTAACATGCAGACTGCTTATCTGTTAATCCTTTCTGATAAAAAAAAATGAAGCCTTTCCACTAAAAAGCTCCAACAGAGCCTGCTTTTACACGCACAGAAGTTTTGAATTATTTATTAGGGTTTAAATGTTATACCAGAAATGGTTCACTGCTTTGTCATCTTCGTTTAAAACGAGATTTTTTTTTTGTATAAGTTGTTTTTCATCTTATAAAATCATGCACCATAGGAAGAGGAAACTGTTTATAATTTGCATACTTTAATTAGATCTTCAAAAAGCTGGATTTATATACTATAAAGTGAATTCAAGAAGGATTCAGTTGTTTAATCTGATTGTATTTCATTTAGAGGATGCACCACACCACCGTGTAGCCTATAATTTATTTCTGCCTCAATTGTTTTTAATTTTATTTCAAGCAATTTTATTGGATGAATTAAACTTTGATTTATATGCATACAAAAAGGATCAAAGTGTCTATCAGTGCTATCTTTACTTCACAAAAGCATGCTTGCAGTATATGTAATCTGCAATGAGCATGCATTTGGTTTATCCTTTTTTAAGAGATCGTTACACATGATCTAAGTGGAAAGGAATATATTTCATTCAGCTGTCGTGATCTCTTTATGTTGCAACTCCAAAAAGATGGAGTTGAGTTGCACTGAATAGATTTCCAATATCAAATCTACCCAACACACACTCACCCACACACATGCAGAGACCTATTTGCAGCATCTCACAGGAAACTGAGACAAATGTGAGGTTTTGAGTCTCAGTAGAGCTCTTTATATTTTTTTTTTTACTTTATCATGCAAAAACCTGTTAGTCTGTCGGGTTTTAATAAAATTTTCTTTACATCCCTGAGAAAAGCTTTTTTGGCTTTTTAATTATATTTTTCCTCAGCCCTCCGTGTTTTTCATAATGATTTACTAGAAAAACAAATACATAAATCCATGAGGTAGTCATTCTGATTCAATTTTTCTCTTTTAGATCCTCATAATTACAGTTTCAGTATGAAATCCATCCTCCTTCCCAGGAGTAAAGCAGTCCATTGAATTGTCTTCCCAGGTTTCTTCCTCTGCTCGGTTCATTTATCCAGTCTCCTAGACAGCTTTCTGTCAGCTGTCTTGTGTGGGATATGAACTCAGAGACACTGTGGGGAGGTTTAACAGTGAAAGTGCTTCCTGACTCCCCCCATACGCCAACATACTGTAGCAGATTGTCAGTCCACAGCAAGTCAGTCCTCTGCAAGGTTTAGCTTGATTCTGTCACAGAACCCCATGATAACTGTGTCTCTGCCCTCTCACTGTGAGTACATCTGAGAGCAAATAAAAAAAGATGAAATCAGGATTTTTACTTTTTATGAACATGTTTTGTTCTTTGATAAAAATGTACAAAATAAGGAACTAGAGCTTCTTGCAAAAGTATTCTTACAGAATCTTTTTCACATTACAAATTACAAACACAAACTTCTGTGTGTTTTATTTGATTTTATGTGACAGTCTAACACCAAGTGGGATGTAAAAGTAGAGTGGAAAGTAAAGGTTTTCAATGTTTAAAAAAAAATAGTTTTATCATTTCAAGCAAATGTAAAATCTGAAAACTGTGGTATATGTTTTAATTTGAGTCTCCTAAATCAGCACTTTCAGGAACCATCCAGACTGAAATCTCTGTACAAAGGCAGGGAAATGGGTTTAGTGGCATTTGTGTTCAATCTATAATTAGGATTGTTTTGTAGTTAGCTCCAATCATTTTCCATTAACTCTGACCATGTCTCCTGTCTCTGCTGAAGAAACGTGTCACCAAATCATGATGCAGCCACCACCTTGCATTACACTGTAGATAGTGTGTTCGAGGTGCAGTAGTTGCAAGCTTCTACAAGCTAGCTGTGTCTACTGCATGGATTTGGCTGATGGATAAACAGTTCATTCAATTCATTCAATTAGGTCAATTTTGTGGGATCCACCACCTGTCTAAAAGATGTTCCCTCCTTTGCTGTGGATTTCTGCAGCTCTTCTAGAGAGCTTATATTTGAATGCTGCTATTTGATGTCAGTTAATGCTCTGTTTGTCTTTCCTGTCAGTTAGGGATACAGCCATCTGTGGACTTGCAGAAGAAATATACTTTTATTTTCCAAATGATGGATTGAACAAGCTGTCTGAAATGTTCAAAGCCTGGGCTCTTGTTTTATAAGCTAAACATACTTTGAACCTTTTCAAAATGTTATGCCTGACCTGTTTGTTGTTTTCCACAATTTAATTGATGCTGTTGTTCAGAGTACAGCTTCACAGTACAGCTAGATGTATACCAAGATTTTTTCTAAGATTTAGTGAGATTTTAGTTATCTCTAAAGACAGTTGTTTGATTTGGGTTTTATTTAAGGGTATCCAGGTAAAAGGGACTGTATAGAAATGCAAACAGTTTTTTTTGAAGACTTTGATTATAAAAAGAAAAGTCTGAGAAGTATGAAAAAGTACAAAGCACCGTACATTTGATTAGAATGAGAAGAAGAAGGATTTAGGCAATAACATTTTTATTTGGTCTTGCTTGCACGTTTAGATGAAATTGTACAGAAAGAAAAAGTTACAAAGAGCACAGAAAATGTCAACATGAGCCTGAAATGAAACAAAACCATTACATCATGCACCGTATTAATAATAACATAAATGATGTTGACACTCCATATCGTGTTAATGGGTTGATTTACAATCAAATTGTTTTGAACCAGTTAGTTAGCCTGCAGTATAAATCTTTTTTTTTTTTTCCTTTCCTTTTTCTCAGTTTATACCATTTGTTTTATTTCCCGCTCTGGTTTATATCTTAAATATAGGAAACAAAGTATAATTACTGCAAGTACATAAAAGTTTTGCGTAAAAACAGTTTGTATTTACAAAATGTTTTTCAGTTCTTTATTTCTTTTGGTCAAAGTCTTTAATGGACCATTGAGGAAGCCCTAAAAATGTACCTGCAACCTTGGAGCCACACTTTCAAGATTCATTGACTACAGCATTGATTATAGGTATCTCTCTATTTGTTTAAAATGATTTTTTTTTTTTTTTTTTTTTTTTTTTTGGTTTTAAACAATGCTGGATCTAAAAACTTGAAGTACACAGCAATAACTGAAGTCTTCAAACTGATGAAATTGAAGGATGTTTTATTTTTTTAAGGCTCACTTTGATGATACAATCAATCTTCCAGCACTAATCTGTTCTGGTTCACTCAGAGTAACTGAGTGGAGAAAAAAAGATGGAAATATACAGTGCAGCACCTTTCATCACACTCACAGCTGGAAAGTCCTTTGGTCAACTTGCTTGGTCCAAACCAGAGGATGTTAGTGTTGTTAATGCAGCCATAGTGTCCTGAGGTGTGGGGGGTGAGATGTCTGGTTCCTGCTGTAGCATGATTTAATAAACATAAAGGAATATCTCCTTTGAACCGACTGATCACAGCATTTTGGAGACATTTTTAGCAGTGGGAGCATTTTTTTCTGTCAGCAGAGTCAAGAAAGCACAGAAGATATCTGTTTGAAGTTCTGCTGTGTCACAGAAAAATGTCAGGTTTTCATTCCATAAGATATCTTACTTAAGATCAAGACATTTCATCTCCTTTAGTTCTCATCTGTTCATGAAAGAAGGAAAAATGAAGCAAAATAAATCCTTCAGATTGACATGAGATCTGTGTGATTTATATGCATCTTTGAATACATTTTATACCATTAAGTATTTATACTGAGATTAAATTATTCACAAAAAAGATCTATTCACAAACAAGAGACTTCTGAAGTTATTTCATTTAGTGCTGCTAAGACTGTTTTTACATGATGAAAATAATTGAAATATTTTTATAATATAAGTTTTGTGGCAACAAATGTGTGCTGTTCCCTGTTAATAAAAAGTTTAATGTGTGTTTCCCAAACAGTTACCCTGGACTACAACTTTTATTTTTAAGCCTCTTTTAAAATATCACTGCTATTTCTGTGGTATATGTGTTTTTGTTGTAACCTATGACTTGCTGATCTTTTTGTTTCTGTTGCAGATTTTTCGTCGGGCAGACAAAAATGGTGAGCCCCTCTTCTATTTGATATAATGGAAAAGAGATTACTTTTTTAACCGATTTTGCACACCAACATCTATGAAAAAGCTTTGTTCATAAGTAAAGCTTTATGTTATTGCTTTGTCTGCCATTGACAACCCCTCCGCTGCTCTTAACAACCAAATTCATCTGCAGATTTGCCTCACTTTTGTTTGTTTTTTTGAGATTTAACAGGTTTAACCGCAACAGTTAACCCTGAAAGTATTGTTTGCTGTAATGCACTGTCAGAAACAAAGAACTGCTTGTTGCAATGAGAGGTAGTCATAAACAGTGGTTGTAAAAGTATTTAAACCCTTTGAACTTTTTATTTGACTGCACGCTTAGGGTTGCTAGTAGGCAAACTACTCTCACACTATCAATTAGCCTGCATTCGTCTTCAGGATTCTCTTAGGATCGTTGTGTAGTTCGATGAATTTTCCATTCGTCTTTGACCTTCTTCCATATCCCTGCAAAAAAAAAAAAAAGAAGAGAAAAAAAAGCAGTCCCCTCCCCAGCAATCATGGTGCTCCTACCATGTTTAACTCCTGGGATGTCATTTAAAAAGGCCTGAGTACATCTATACATGCATTTATCCTTTTGCTTTCTCATCACAGAAACACACATGCTCTTGAACATTTTCATAAGGCACTGTAAACGTGGAGGTAGAGGAGCTACAGTAGGGCAGAAGAACTTTATGCATAAAACAGACTATTATAAATGTTAATGCATAATATTAAGGTTCCCAGTTGAATTATTAATTCCTAATGCAGCTCATCTGAGACACATTTCCTTCTTCCATGTCACTCTTTTGATAGAATGATTTGTAAGAACTTCAAACAAATACTTCCTCCCCATAGGAAAACACTGAGCATTTAGCTCTGCATAAAAATCTGTCCTAACAAACACTGAAATGTTTTCCGCCTAATTTTTTATTCATGCGCTACATCCCCCCTGGTAGTGGAACGCAAAATGCAGAAAGAAGGCAAATGATTAATGCCTGTATAGCATCTATGAAGACTGTGCACTTTCCTCTGAAGGAACGCTGAATTTGAAGCATAAGAGTGAATTAATGATGCAACGTGTGGTGCAATGAGCAGGGGTCGTCTGGGGCTTGTCTTTCAGTGATACAAAGTTAAAAAAAAATTGTTTGTGAATTATGGATGAAGAAAACATTATTTTTTTTTCACCTAAGCTTTTGTGATAAATAAAAGGGATGGGAGGTGGTTTTCTTTTCTTTTTGCATGGAGCTGAGTCTTACATTATTGTTCTCTGGCTGCTGCCGGCTGAAGCGTTTCAGTTTAGGCTAACCAAGCATATTTTCTAAAGTCTGTTTCTGCTCCGACCTTCCTTTAGCTCTCAAACTGAGCATGTTAGGTTTTGTTATCATTACTTTGCAGCAGAGCTCAGTTTCTGTTTCCTCTTTAAAATTAATGATCCTTGCATCCATAGGAAGAAACAAAATTGCCTTTTTTTGTTAGTAGCATCTGTATGGGCTGCCATAATATGCCTGGGGCACCATGCATTCATAATTTTATAAGTGTCTAAAATGCATCATCGCTTTTAATAGGGTTTTTGAAAAGCAGATGTAAACTGTCTGAATGCAGCAACATACAAAAAACTTCCCCTCCATTATGTGGAAAAATAAACTAATTAGTCTTTTTCACTGCTTTGTTGCCTTGCATCAAAAGGTCTATAGAGAGATGGTACAACACAAGTCTACAGAGTGATATGCTCTGTTTTGACAACACAGCTCAGATTTTTTACTCAAAGAAAACAAAATCATGGGAAAATCTTTTAGGCTTTGAACAAAAGACTTAAGAAAAGTCTTAAGAAGGAGGGAGGTGAGGGCTGCTTTAAAAAGCATGTTATATATCCATATAATAAACCTTAAAACAAAAATTATTATAAATATGATTATAGAGGTAATCCATACCGAAACAAACGGAAGGGTTGCATGATATTAGGAAAACAGTTTCTCAATATTAGTGTCAAATACTGCCGTCACTCTTTTTTACATTTCTCTCGCTGAGGTGTAGAATTTAAGATGTGTCAGGTGTGGCCAAATATACTGCTTGCCTGCAAAGTCTACATGCACCACAAAGAAAAATTAGAGCATAAAAAAACAAAGTATTGCCTTCAATATTAAGTCAGAATTCTTGCAAAAGTGCACATGCGTAATAAATATTTTGCAGCAGTTTCATTTAAAAAAACAGGTATACTATTCTCCATGCACAGTTTTAACATTTTATGCATGCAGATTTAATACAATGAGGACCCCAATATGTCACATCCATGCACTGAGAAGGTTTTAGGCTTTAGAATTATCCTTAGAGAATGCAGTGATGTGCAAAAATACTGAATCTTCAAATGGCAGTTGATCAGAGGAAAACCTTCTCCTTTCCTTAATCCTTAACTCTTTGGTTAAATATTTAAGGTATAAAATCAGCATAAATTAGTAGAACACATATGGACATACATTCAGGCTATAAAGTGCTAAAAATGCAGCGTACTTGAGTGGCTTTACTCTGCTGTTTTATTTTGAAAGCAGGGTTTACTTTGCCTGTTAATTTTTCCTATATGTCACCACTAAAACATCACTTGCTGGAGGATAAGTCCATATTATATCATTCTGCATTACAGGAATGCAGTGGTGCAGAGGAGTAAGTAAGTCTTTAGAAGGAACTAAATGAATTGTTCAAAAATTATTGTACAGCAACACTGCTGATTAAAATCAAACCAAAAGCAGCAAAAATTGGTTTAAAAACCTAGGATTTAGCTAATCTTTTGCAACATGTACAGCTGGTGTTGATATTTGTTTAAAATATTGAGAACCAATAAAGGCAATATATTTCTTTGGCTCATAAAACATTATTTTAAGGCTAGGAACATTTTTGTCTTCATTCACATTTTTGATATTCTCCTGAATCACACTGACGCACATTATGACTCATTAGTGATGCTTTTCTTGCAGCTTTATACCCCCCTAGGGGAAGAGTTAGAGAGTCTGTGAAAAAAATTCTGAAAAGATATTTTCCTTCAGGCTACACTTTGCACTGCAGTTTTATTGAGGGTGATGTGAGGCAGGTAGGTAATTACCTTGCTGCTGTGGACACTTTAATTTCCCAACAGACCTGTTGGTGCTCTTAGATTAGGTGCATTAAATTCTGCAGATGAGTAAGAAAATGAAATCTCTTACTCTGAGTGATGATTGATGACACTCAACAATTATTTTCTTCACATTGTCATATTTAGCAGTAGATTAAACTGCTTCAATGACGAGATAAGTGAAAATAAGGAGCAAAACAAGCTAAATCCACATAAAAACTTTGGTTGAATTACTTTAGATGATACATGCTTCTCTTTTTTCTTAGAAACACATTGGATTGCTGTGTACAGTAGTTCTGAATTGGGGAGGTTCAGCTTATTTTAGCATGAAACTATAGCGGCCTCTAAAATCTGCACAAGCTTGATTCAAACCTTCATTTGGTTTTATCATGCAATTATGTGGTCTTCCATTGGTTTGCTTTTATTATCATTTTTAGTGATATATAGGCAGCTCAGTCTCTCAGTCTTAAGTATACATAAATGCAGTTTCATTGCATCCATGTATACTTTGTATAAAGTGTTATTCTGCATTGAAGCCTGCTTTACCTTTTCGAAATAGCTTTCCAGATGCAGTTAAGTACCTGTTATTTAAAGCAATTGACATTTTTTGTTATTGGTTTCATAAATTGAATGGAAATCATTGAAAGTACGCTATATTGCAAAAAGTCATCGCTCACCTGCCTCGATATGAGCTTCAGTGACATCCCATTCCTAATGCGATGTCATCCTTTGCTGGTCTGCTAGAACAGCTCAAACTCTTCTGGGAAGGCTGTCCACAAGGTTTAGGAGTGTGTTTATGGGAATTTTTGACCATGCTTCAAGGATGCATTTGTGAGATCACACACTGATGTTTGATGAGAAGATGTGGCTCTCTGCTCTAATTTATCTTAAAGTTGCTCCATCTGGTTGAGGTCAGGACTGTATGCAGGCCAGTCAAGTTCATCCACACTGGCCATCCATGTCTTTATGGGCCCTGCTTTTTTCTCTGGTGCACAGTCATGTTGAAAGAGGAAGGGGTCAGCTCCTTGGGAGCATGGAATTGTCTAAAATGTCTTGAACTAAGGAGCCAAGCCCAGTTCCCATACCATAACCCCCCGTCCACCGAACTTTACACTCAGCACAATGCATTCAGATAAGTACTGTTGTCCTAGCAACAGCCAAACCTATAGTTGTACACCAGATTTCCAAATGGAGAAGCATGATTCATCTCTCCAGAGTCTCCAGTGGCGGCGTCCTTTACACCGCTGCATCCAACGCTTTGCATGGATGGTTTGATTGGAAACCCATTCCATGAAGCTCTCTGTTTTTGGACTAATCTGAAGCTTGGAGATGTGTAGTGAATGATTGACTGCAGAAAGTTGGTGACCTCTTTGCAGTATGTGCTACAGCATCTGCTGACCCACCTCTGTCAGTTTACACGGCCTACCGCTCTGTTTGTTGTCATTCCCAAACACTGACAGCTGACTGGGGAGTATTTAGGAGCGAAGAAATTTTACGACTGGATTTGTTGCACAGGTGGCATCCTATCACAGCTCCATGCTGGAATTTACAAGATTCACAAGATCCTGAGAGAGACCCATTCTTTCACAAATGTTTAAAACAACACTCTGAATACCTAGGTCCTTGATTTTATACACTTGTTTCCATCCAATTATTTGGATGGTTTAGCATATATGGTTAATCAAAATATGATTTTTTATTTATTCAATATAATTACCAAAATATATGTTCTTACAAAATTGATTAATTTTTTCCTAACGCGATTCAACAGAACCTCGATCAGAACAGACTGCATGTTCATACTGCTTGTTGATATTTATTGATCATTTTTTTTCAACATTTCTCTAAAGAAGAAATGACCACCTGGTTCAGAGAGTTAAGCTTGCAGTATGTTTTGCCCTCAGCTCTGTGTTTCTCTCATAGCTTTGATCCAAAGAACAGTTAACACTTGTGTACTGTGCCATCTGAGCTGCTCTGTATTTTAGGCGTCTCACTGGGTGCGAATCCAAACCAAAGCTCTGCTTCTGAGGGAATCAGATGATGAGTCAGAGATGTAACAGACTGTAGTTACTCCTACATCATTTACAGCATGAAATAGTGATAGAGAAATTAAGATCCAATTCTTTCTTACAGGTTGATCTCCCAGTTCAGGTCAGAATTAGACCTAATGTTACATCAGGGGGTAAATTTTGGACTTATCCAGCTAAATTGTGCCCTGAGCCCTCCACAAATTCAAATTTCTTTAGTTTTTTTCCAGCAAAAAATGTTTTACTAATTAAAAGGTAATGGGATGATAGGATTATGAGACATGCATGTCAGAAAGCTGCAATACTTCTTGAATAAAGCTGCTGACTCCTCACTATAAGCCTATACTTCTGAAAGAAGTGCTTTGGGAGAAATTCTTTTTTTTCTGGGGATTAAGTTCATTTTTAAAAGCCACAACGGCATTGTTTCATTATTCAGAGTGATGGACAGTCTTAAATTGAGTTTTGGCTTCAGTGAAGGATGACTTTTTTTATTGGTTGGTTCCCTTGCAGATGATGGGAAGCTCTCCATGGAGGAGTTCCAGTCCTACTTCACTGATGGCGTCCTGACTGAAGAGCAGATGCAGGAGCTGTATTACTCCATCGACAGGCAGCAGACAGAGTAAGCTCTCCTCGATCTTTATTTGGGTCTCATCCAGCTCTTCTGCTTTCTGCAGCATCTCCTGCTCTTCTGCCGGTTGGCAGCAAGACTTAATTTCTCACTTCAAGGAGTATCCACAGAAAGCCTTCAGGCTGGGATAATGCAAGAATCAGTGTTTTAAAGTGCAGTGAGAAGAATGAAAAAATAAAAATATAGCTTAAACATTGATCTGACTTTCGGCCTGCAGAGCAATGCCTTAGTTTCATCCTCAGTAAGAAAAACTACAGAAGATAACCAATTTAATACTCCAACTGCATAGCAGCCTATTATACTGATTTAAAGCATGCAAGTGATTAATGATTGCACCTCAATTAAAGGTCACATCACTGCATCAGCTCATAATAACTGTTTCCTAAAAAAATGCAGATGGCTTTCATGAGTTATGAGTCATTACAAAACTAAGAATAAAAAAAACCCTGAAATAAACTAATATAATCACATGAAAATGATGGGATCATTAAAACAAACACAACATAACTGCTTTGATTCTAAAGGTTGTTTGCTTCCTGCTCTCGCAGTCAAATAAAAAAAGCGTTAATAAGATGAAAAAGAAGTGAATCTGCACAAAGTTTGAAATGGACTGAGAAAGCTCGCTTCAAAACACAGCTGAACCTTCAATCCTGATGTATTCCTGGAGTCTTAGCACCACTAATAGGAGCTGCAGTCGCTGTCAGCCTAAAATCACCAGAGGTAACGCTCATTACTTTGGCAGAAATGCTCACATATACAGCTGAGCAGCTGATTATGAGGTAGCAGAAAAATCTTCTTCTCACATAGCACATTTTGGACTTGACATTCTGCTACTCTACATTACTTGAGAAATGAGGCATAGGCCAGTTGGAGTACCGCTGAGGAAAAACACCACAGTTTGACAGGGTTAATATTGTTAAATAGAATCTCTTTGCACTTTATTTAGCAGAAAGGCTACAGGTTTACTGATCAAACATGTATTTTATCAGTCACCATGATATGATCTATTATATGTATTTATGGCAAAAGGACAAACAAATATTTATTGCATATCCGCTATCATCAGATGAAATGGTAAAGATGTGGGCTATTCCATTTTTTTGCAGTACTGCTCTTTATAATGCAACACAGGTATAGGAAGATGATTTTAGGTGTCCAATTATTTGCTGAACTCACATCCTGTGTTTTGCAGACTGAGTTTTGAAAACAGCATGACTTTATCAGGAGTATTGAATAACCCTAATTTAGTTTTCACACGACGATTGTTGTTTTTTTCACCTGTAATATTTCCAAACAGCTACTTTTATCTATCTGTTATCAGACAATGTAAGAAAATGTCAAATGAAAACTGTCAGGCAGTGCACAGCAGCAGGTAGGGAGGGGGAGCAGTGCATTGCATCCTGCTTATACCTCATCTGACTGTGGAGCTTAAGGTTTGTACTGTGAGGGATTTGCACAAACCAGCCAGAAAACCACTGAAATTTTTCAAAAAAAAAGTCTTAATTTATTCCCAAAATGATAAACTGGGCCCAAAAACAGAGGTCAATAAAACAGACTTCAATTCAGGCTTTAACATAAAGAACTCAAGCACAAAACTAACCTAAAAAGGCCCGGTGGCGCCAGTGTACGGCAACCAAGCTTCTGTCAGTAAGCCCCAGGGCAGCTGTGGCAACAATGTCTCTTGCCACCATCAGTCTGTGAGTGTGTGCGTGAATGGGTGAATGAATGTAGTGTAAAGCGCTTTGGTCAAGTCTCCTGACTTGAATAAAGGCACTTTATAAGTACATGCCATTTACCATAAAAAATCAGGATATGAGGGAAACTTAAATAGTGGCTGATCAGACCACTGTTGACACACAAGGGGGGCAACTGACTAACAAACTAATAAACAAATAAACTTAATTAAACAGATAAATAGTTGCCAGACAATAAATACTTTTTAAATTGAACTAATTAACAAAATTACCCAAACTAAGAATATTTAAACAAATGATAAACAAATTGCCCTCCCCATTACAAATGGTTTGATCCGCTGATTAGCCTGCAACCACCAATTAAGGAAAGCTGGAGCTCATTGCAGCCCTCCACCAGCTGCCGAGGAAACTGGCAACTCAAAGAAAAAAAAAATTAATAAATTGCATCTTGACAAAAAAAACCCCAACAAACTGACAAATAAAGTTAACTAAATGTGTGCACTGCAAATAGCTAACTTAAAGTCAGGCTAATGAAAATATATGAAATGTGCAACTCATTTTGAAAATGAAAAATGAATTAAAAAAAGTTACCACATCAGAGTGTGACAGCAGGCTGCCACAGTACTTATATAAATGGATGTAGCTTATTTGTGTGTTTTTGAAATGAACAATGAGATGAAAAATATGCTTTTCCGCATATTTTACTAAATAATTTTTTTTCTTGGAGGTGGATTAGAGAAATTTTTTAATTTATAGTATCCAAACCGAGAATAAACCAAGTCACACACTTCAAATTCCCCTTAAGCTTAGCTGCAGATCTAGGCACTGTCTTCATTTTTGGCCGTATGTTTCTCGTCACATCTTGACTGAAGTCCTTTTTTCTGTGATCTTGATTTCCCTCACTATAGAACTTCTATTTATAGTAAAGTTTGCAGACTTCTGAGCCTTGTCTTTGTATCTTTTCACAGCAATCTGGACATAGAGAAGCTCTCAGGTAAGAATGTTTCCTTACAATGACTCTGCTAATAAATTATCTTAAATATAGTTAATGTTTCTGCTTAAACTGCTCTAAAACGATGGCTATAAATTGACAGATATTCAGTGCCTGAAAGCTATTTGGTCAGTCAGCTCTGTCGGTCTGTTGGAAATACCACTGATGGCATAATTATTGTTTTGGTCCCACAGCTTACTTTGCTCCTCATCTTGGGGAATATGTCAACGTCCTGTCTGCACTGGAAAAGCTCAACGTGGCAATTTTAAAGGCAATGGATAAAACTAAAGAGGTAGGTGATGACGGCTTTTGTTAGTTCTTTGAACTTATTAATTAATAAGATTTATTCCCACATTGTCAACAGAAATGTTGAAACAATAACCCTCCAAAAGTTTAACTGCATTTTTCATCTATTTTGTATCTGTTAGCACCTCATCCATTCAACTTCTACTTCTACTTTTGTTTCCTATTAAAAATAGTCTTTCAGCCATGAGCTATAATACATTAAGATGAGGAGTCCTACTTTCCTTTCTATTTTCTATTATTATTTTCTGTTTTGTCTGCAAGATCTAAAAAATTAAATTTAATTGAAATGCTATTTTTTTGTAACTTCTTATTAATGAATCTTATTCTTTTCAAAAAGCAAGTTTATTTTACCTTTAACTGCCACACTTTTTTAAAGCAGAGCAAACTTTACGTAGGTGGAGCTCAGAAAAATTTATCAAATTCTCTTGGCCTGCCCCTTTCTTTTGTTGAAAAATTATATAATGACGGATGGCATCCTGCTGATGGGGAAAAACTGTTGATGTCCTCTCTTCCTCTTTCTATCTTCTTCCTTTAATATGACGTATAGATGACCAGCTGGATAACCCAGCAACTATCAAGTTAAGGCACATTCAGAATTAATTTATAAAATATCCAGAAGTCAGGGGCTACATATCTGAGGTATAAAAACACTCCATACTTGTTAGGTATAAGCCATCATACAATGGTGATAACAATATTTTGGAGCTTTTTGGATGTGACCTTTTAACATGTTGAAACAACAGAGCCTGTTCCACCTGGCACTGCACAGCCCTGTGCATCAGGGGAGGGAAAACAGACACCCTAAGAAATCACACAAAGCTGAGATGAGGGATTTTAAGATATTCCTCTTTGGGTTTAAATGTCTGCTGTCAGCTGATCTGATGCAGTTTTTTTTTTTTATCATGCAAATACTTTATGTATGATTTAGCTCTTAAGTTTAAACTTAGCTTTAAGAAACAGAGGATTTCTACATGATTTCAGAATGATCAGATCTCCATTAACATTTAGCTGCCATTCCTGTCATTCAGTCTTTTGACTTAGCTTTACATTCATCTGCAAATGCAAGGAAAACATGTTCCACATTTTATTCAGTTAAAGGTTAAACAACTTGTTCATTTCTGCATTTTCAGTTATCAAAACTTGTTAACTGGTTCAATCTTCAACCTTGAATTAAAGGTGCAAAAAAAGAAAAAAAAAAGACCCGTCCTCTCCACTTGTACATGCACAACCCTGTACCTGCTCCCGAGAGGGAACTCCTATTAAACACGTGCAAGAGCGTGCACGAACCCATTTCTCCTTGTGCACGCTCTGTTTAAAATTTGATGTCTGCATCGCTCATACAAGCTTACTTTCCAAAAGAAGATTTGCAATTTTACAACTATGTCAGACTTACCAGTCGTAAGTAATAATGGGGATGAGCACGTAGGACGGCCTTACGTAAACATATAAAAAAAAAAAAACATCCTGCACATCCTACTGCGCCAGATAGTGATTAGTTTTAAAATGTGGCACGGTAGAAGAATTGTATTTGGATGGTCAATAAACACATGCTTGGAAGTTATAATAAGGTGTTTTTTTTTAATCCTGTGTGATGCAGCAGTTTATTTTCAGAGATACAGAGAATGCAGGATATCGGGGAATAATAGATGATGATTACCAAGGGTGACAAAAGCCCAAGCAGTCCTGCTGGTCTGACGTCAGATGTCCTATGGTCATGTTTGAACTTTCTCCTCTCCTCTCATACTCTGATGGCATTAGAATCATAGGAATGTGCTTTTCATTTCTCTTTTCATCATTTGTCCTCTACATCTCCAGCATGTTCTCCCTGTCTACCATGTTTTTCTTTCCTTCTTTGATGCCCTCTTAGAGCTCAGGAATATTTCGTGTTGCTGATGGTTGATAGGAAAGCTTTTCTTTTTTTTGCACTGAAGAGAACAGGTTATGTTTTGTGTTCTTGACATCAGACTTTTTGAAGAAATTGTTAAACGAGTCAAAACTAGGTAAGAGGTGTGATATGCATACATTCATATCTAAGAGATTTAGTGACCATTCAACCTTCACAAAGAGGCCAGGATTACCTGGTAAGAGCTCATGTAACTTATGGAGGAAAACATGACGACTCTATGCAGAAAGTACAGAGGCTGGAATTTGAAACCAGAAGCTTCTTGCTGCAGTTCTAACAGCTGCTATGCACTAAATCTGAGCACTGAGAATAGGCAATAGCCACCTCCCTGAGGGTAGAATAAATGACAGGCCTTATAGATAAAACCACAGGTGTGCCAACATAGCAGATCTTCTTGCATTTAAGGTAGGAAAATATATAGATTAAAATTTTTATGATGACCTTATGGTGGCTGAACTGATGCATTATTTGCTTTGTTGTTTCAGGTTTGCTACTGCTCACATTTTTTTTTAATGATTTGGAGGAGAAAGTGAGAAAAGAGTAGTTTTATTGTTCATGTGGAGATACTTCTTTGCCACAGAAAAAAGAGCATGTTGGTTTTAATAAGCCTGATGGACATTTTTCAAACAATTCCCCAACATGTTTCCCTTTACACCCATTTATTGTTGCACCACAGTGAGAATGAGAAGGCTTGTTATCTGCCAAAAACTGTGCTGGAATGAACGTGTTCTTATCTCTGGAAACAGCCTCTATGCTGAAGCTTTATAAAATCATGTGTCTCTCTATGGAATAAAGCAGTAAAACCTAAAGCAACATATTCACATCATGAATATTTGATTATGTGGGTTAGTCTACTGTAGGTATTGCTTATGATTAGATTTAGGAACTCAGCTGCCTCTTTGGAAGGAAATAAATCTCAACATTTGTACCAAAGAGAAAACATCAATTCTCTCCAAAGATCTTACTGGGAATCAATTCAGAGCTTGGAGCTCTCCACTTCAAACTTTGCTTCTTTTTTCTACTGTTTGCGAGTTTGGATTGTTGTCCCATTAAAAGATGCAAGTTGCCTTTTTTAAAGTAGTTTTCTAATTCATAATTATACTTAATCACATCCATCTGTGACTATGGCAGGAAAGCAGCCAGAGAAGCAGAAAGCCAATTTTAGATGTAGGAACAATGTGTCCATCTCCTGTTAGAGTTTATTTCCACACAGAAAAAGAAGCTGATTAGTTGTATCTTTAAAGATACAACTAATCATCTCTTTAAGATCATATGTGATTTAATTAATATATATATGTTTTTTACAGTCTCTTACTTCTTTTTATGTCTTTAGGAGTATCAGGGCTCATCTGTGCTGGGTCAGTTTGTCACTCGGTTTCTGCTGAGGGAAACATCCTCCCAGCTTCAGTCCTTGCAGTCTTCTCTGGACTGCGCCACAGAAGCTGTCCATGACAACGGCTACACAGGGAGGATAGTGAAGAAGCCAGAGGACCTTCCTATTCAGAGGGTCACCAAACGACCCAACAGACGTATCCAGAAGAACATGTGTCTCTCTCCTACTGACCCCTACTCCGGCATGCTAACCACAGGTGCATCTTTGCAGGCAAACCTGAGAGATAGAAAGCTGACATTTCTCAGAACAGTTATGGTCTGCTAACACTTTGTTTCTGGTGTCAGGGGTCAGCGTGGAGCCAGAAAACCCCTGGAGCTCCCAGATCAACCAGCTGGAACAACTCATGGATAAACTGGACTGTGAGGTGGGTGTAAAATAAGCTTTTCTCAATTCTCCTTCCAGCATTTATGTTCAAGCAAGATTCTTGTCTTAAATCAAGAGCTTCATATTTTAAAACTAAGTTTTTTTGCCAAAATGAATAATTAGTTAATCTTTTATTTTGCTACTATCAGTGGTGTAGTAACATGTGACTGAATGCAGTCATATAAAAAAATCCCCTTATGTCTTTCATGGCAACACTTTAGGAGGTTTTCATTAAGTCAGAGAGTTAATTCTGCCAGGGAGACCCATTTTCAGCCAAATGCTGTGCAATATAACCACAATGATATTCACAAAATACCAAACGGACATTCTTAATATGAGTTCTATATAAGTAGGTCTGTATTCGACTGAAATTAAAGCAGGTGGCCGATTTAAGGGAAGCAGCATTACAGTGCTATAATAGATCAATTTTTTTGGGTATCAATTTCAAACTTAGATTCTGTTTTAGAGGAAAGATATCCGGTTTACTGGGCTCTCCTGCCTGCATGGTAATAATAATTATTATTATATGGATTACAGATCTCTGTCTTGCTCTGGAGAAGTGCAATATAATTTGCTAGAAAGCTAATGTGACTAGTGCATTTTGGAGACAATTCAATTCATATAGCATATAGCAACTGTGGAGAGGAAAACTCCCTTTAACAGAAAGAGACCTCCAGCAGAACCAGGCTCAGCGAGAGCGGCCATATATGAGGGCGACTGCTTAAAAGGAACAGAATTTAATTGAATTTATCTCCATTTTCAGAGTCCCCGTCTTGAACCTCTGAAGGAGGACACTTTGGCAGGGACATATAAATCGGTGAGTCTGTAACATGTGCAGATTGTTAGACACAAGTTGTTTCACACACACAGTATATAATGTTAAAGTAAAAGGTACGCATGGAGACTAAGTTCACATACAATCTGGAGTGATGATAATACAAACAACTGCAATGAATATTAACCTAGATCGGTCTCAATTCTCACAAATAAACATTAGTGATCCATACATGCAAAGGACGAGATCTACACATGCACAGCACGATTCACGCAAGCACACAAGATCCACACATGCAATTATTTATGGACCTGAAATACTTTGGTGAGTCTTGTTCTGTGCTTGTGTGGGTCTTGTGTGCTTGCGTGAATCATGCTGTGCGTGTGTAGATCTTGTACTTTGCATGTATGAATCTCATATCGGTATTTGTAAAAATTTAGATCGATCTAGCTCCATAGTCTTGGGGCTATTATCAAACCTGGGACCTTTTTGCTGCAGGGCATCAGTGCCGTCACTGTGCTCCCCCATTTCCTAATAATACAACAGAAATAAAAGAAAAGACGATGATCTTCATAATTCCTTGTTTTGTTTCATATAGCAATAGTCCAGCTGTAGATGGTTTTTATACAAGACAAACAAAAAAACAACAAAGCTGGGGTGCGTTTCAGAAAGCACGTTTACTGGAAACTAAGTTTAATAAACCTGCTTTGTGAAACAGACCCCTGGTTGGCAGAAGTGGATGGAAGAGCACAGAAAGCAAGAAATAAATGGTTAATGTTTCTAAGCAACTAGCTGTATAAAACATTAACTTGACCATGATTTTGCTGAAACACTAATAATTGATTTGGAAAATGTTTAATTTTATTTATTTTTTATTTTCTATTCATATAAATTTGTTATAATATTTTTTTAAATCAGCATTTTCTAGCAAAGATATTTCACACATGGTTGGTGGTTTTTACAGCTTGTGTCCCCTTGTAGGATAACAAAGTCAGAGGAAAATCTTTTCTAATATTATGAAGATAAAAAAGTGAAATCTGTTAGCCTATTTTGGTGTAGCAGCAGTCCTTCAAAAGAGTGGCCCTGATACATTCGAAAGAAAAACAAGACATCATCATGTCAGCCCAGACATGGTCAGGTAAACTTGGATCTGAGAGAAACTAGACAGTTTAGATATTAAAGGGATCACTTCAAAAATGGGTAAAAAAAACAAACGATGTGCTGACTATGAAAGAGAAAAGGTTTGGTGAGCTTTAATGTGAGTTTTGTTTAAAAAAAAAAAAGTCACATTTCTATCATCCTTGTTCTTTGTGACTATGACTACAATGTTGACATGATTTATATATTCTCCTCAGAACATCCTTCTGGTTCAGAGGCAGATGTCTGTGAAGGAGAGAGATGTGGAGCAGTTTCAGCAAGCTCTGAAAGTCTACACAGATGCCACCAGCAGCCAGCTTAATAACCTACAGTATGTCCTTCTCTCTGCCTCTGCGCTGTTTATGCCTCAGGATCTTTCTGTGATTTCATGCATCCATCTCAGACTGCTTCAGTTCTCACAGATATTCAGCTCAGAATCACTCCCACTGACCTCATTTTCTCTCTTTCTATTTCAAATTAACCAGCATTTCAGTCCAAAACCTGCCAGACAGATCATGCTTCATCATGTATGAGTTTTGGCAGGACCGTCTCTCCTGGATGAGGTTTGCTCTATTTTTCTCTTTTTTTCCACTTTATATCAGTCCAATAAAAACATACCAGGAAAAATGAGCTGCTGATAAATTCACTTTGAAGAGACTTATAGTTTTTTATTTGCATTAACAGCTACCTGCAGTCATCTATCAGCAAAACATTTCAGCGCTGCATCATTGACTCGCTGGAGGAGCCAGAAATAGTCTCCACTATGCTTCTTCCAGGTACCACCTTACAAAATGAATCTCTCTCTACTTAAATGTTTCTACTGCATATCACATATGGGTAAAAATGCATGGTTTGATTATTACGAAGTAATTTGGTATCTACAATAGACAAGTCTAACCATACTATCGTGGTGTGTAAATGGTCATAAGGAACCGAGCTCGGCACGGCTAACTGATCCAAGTTCGGAACGGATCAGTTTTCAAAAGGGTAGTTTAAACGGGGCTAATGTCTCTGTGTCTCATTCTGAGAAGACCTTAGTGTAAAGGTGGAGGGATAAAGTCAACCCACTGTGGTTACGTCTTAAGCCGGGCTACATTGTGCAATTTTTTTTCAATCGTTGCACGCAGCTGCTGCTCACACTGTATGACTAACCGCAGGGTTTAGTCATACAGTGTGAGTTCACAGCTCACGATTTATGTTCGGCCCGACGCTCTCATGCGATCTACCTGCTCACACTGTACGACTAAAAACCACGTCGGACTCTGCTCCACAGCGAGATGGAACTGCTCTGTAGCTCTCTATCCTGAGGCCAAACAAATAGAAGGGGGATATTAAGCTCACTATGGTGACCTTGGCAATTTGTGCAATTTTGTGCTGAAAGTCCTAAAAAGAAAAGGCGACGACGTATTTGGAAAAAAGACATGGCTGAGCAAACGTAGCTACTACAGTCCGTCAATTTTACAGACAGAACTGCATTTCACTCATTGCATCCCTGCCATGCTGCTGTGTTTACATCTGAGAGGAAGAATAAAAAGAAGAATCCTTCTTTGCGCATGTGCCCTCAGCTATTTGCCCACGACATTCGGGAGAAAATCAAACATTTATGATATTCTCCCGACCTCACGATTCCTGATTGGGAGGTGGTCTTGAGAGGCTGATCGCTGCTCGTTACCCCCCTGTATACTACACGACTTACGACGCATGATCAGGCTGAAATTCGGGCTGATCGAAAGATTCTCGCACGACTGGAAAATCGCCCCGAAAATCGCGCAGTGTAAGTCGGGCTTTAGAGATGTCAT